TGCCAGTCCCTTAGCTGTCTTGGAGCAGGGACAAAACATTGTGTCATTGCAGAGCTCAAGAACAAAGCTTGGAAGCTATTCAGGGCTGCCATTCGATGAGTTGCTTAAAATAAGTGTCTTTAGTCAGCCTTTCAGGAGCCCGAGTCTAAAGCTCATTTGTAAAGCAAGCAGGCATGAAGTCATGCTTTTGTTTTAGAAGTTCAGGAGAAATTGCTTTAGTTTCTCTTGGAGCCTGAGGGAAAGAAAGCTAGAGCAGGGTAGTTAAATTAGAAGAAATTTAACATAAAAGTTAAACATAACAATTTTGGGAAATGTTGCTTATGTAACAACCTCATCATTTGCAGTCTTCGGAATGGCTTTTAGAAAAGTGTTCCTGCAGTCGTGACCTCAGTCACGATGGCAAATGCTGAGCCAAATGGACAGTCCTTTCCTTATAAACCAGATTCTTGTATTCAGTGGAAATGCAAACACTCTGATGGATTTCAAATCAACCGAAGTAATTCAATGGACACTCTGATGCAGGCTGCAGCGAGCTCGAAACTGGTCAGGGAGCTTCTATGGACTGCATTCTTATGCCATTATGTAAAGGACAAATACTACAGCGGAACAGAAATTTGCTGAGAAGCAGGATATAAAGCAAATTAATAACCAAGCCAGCTTTCAGAAAGGCAAAGACAGCTTAAAATGTTTGTGTTGAATAAAGTATAATTCCCCAAACCAAGGGTGGGCAACTGTGGCCCTTTTACAACCTGTGGACTTCAACTCCCAGAATTCCCGAGACAGCTTGGCTATCTCAGGAATTCTGGAAGTTGAAATCCACAGGTGTAAAAGGGCCACAGTTCAGGGATGAAATGCTCCCAGTTCGGACCGGATCGCTCGATCTGGTAGCGATGGAGGCGGGTGGTTCAGAGAACCGGTAGCAAAAATCCCTGCTCCCCTCTCCACCCAGCTGAGCCACACAATAATCAGAAGCTTTTTTTTTAAAATTTTAAAAGCATTTTTTCTACAACTTCTTCGGCCGAAAAAATGCTTTTAAAAGTAAAAAAAAAGCCTCTGATGATCGCGCAGCTCTTCAGAGGGTGTAGAAAAAATGGTTATAAAAGCCTCTGACGATCCCAGCTGAGTTGCCTGATCGGCAGAGGCTTTTAAAAGAAAAAAAGCCTCTGCCGATCAGGCAACTCAGCTGGGATCGTCAGAGCCTTTTGAAAGCATTTGTTTACAACCTCTTCCCACCCCCCCAAGCCATGCCCACATTACCCACCACCACCAAGCCACGCCCACATTACCCACCACCACCAAGCCATGCCCACATTACCCACCACCACCAAGCCACGCCCACAGAACCAGTAGTAACAAATTTTAGATTTCACCACTGCCACAGTTGCCCACCCCTTCCCTAAACTAAATAAAGGTAGTCCTCGACTTACAACAGTGCATTTAGTGATCGTTCAATGGCAGTGAAAAAAGGGACTTATGACAGTTTTTCACAGTTACAACCTTTCCAGCATCCCCATGGTCACTTGATCAAAATTCAGATGCTTGGCAACTGGTTCAACCTTATGTCTGTTGCTGTATCCTGGGATCATGTGATCACCTTTTGGAATCTCCTGACAAGCAAAGTCGGTGGTTCCCCAGATTAACTATGTCATTAATTTATCAACTGCAGTGATTCACTTAACAACTGTGGCATGAAAGGTCGTAAAATGGGGCAAAATTCACTTAAATGTCTCGCTTAACAACAGAAATGTTGGGCTCAGCGGTGGTCGTACGTCGAGGCCTACCTGTAGTAGTGTTTAAGTATTTTTCAGCTATGAGTACAAATGGTGAGATGGGGGAAGCCTACATTTAATATCAAAACATGTATAAAGTGAACAGTATGTTAAATTCTCCTCAGGTTTCCACCTATGGCTATTGCCATAATTTTGAATATTTTTTTTAACCCTAGCCACATTTCTAGTTTCAGAATTCAGTTAATTATTTTGCTGATGCAAACACACACACACACGATTTCAGATGCAAAATGGACATATTTTATAAAAACTTCATAAAAATTTAATAAATCAACAAATATTAAATTTGCCACCCACTACTTTATAATGTAATGTGTATCAATGAAAATACATTAACTGCTGAGCAATTACAGCTTTATGACCAGAACTATTATATTGTTATTTCAAGCCAATATAAGCATGAGGATAAAGCAGCAAAGCTGCAATATTAGTCATCATTAGCATCTGATGCCATCAAGTATGGTAATATTAATGTATAAAGCTTAAAACTGGGATTACCTGATTTGAGCTGCCAAAGTTCAGATTAGCACTAGATGTTAGCAAAGAGTTGGTTTTGAATATCTCTTTCCTACCATCTAAAATGGCTGCCTCACACAAAAAATGAGGGATGGGAAAGATGTGTACAGGTAGTCTTTGACTTAACGATCATAATTGAGCCCAGAATTTCTGTTGCTAAGTGACACATTTGATAACTGAGTTTTGCCCCATTTTATGATCTTTCTTGCCACACTTGTTAAGTGAATCACTGCCGTTGTGAAGTTAGTAGCACAGTTGTTACGTGAATCTGGCTCCCCCACTGACTTTGCTTGTTAGAAGGTCACTAAAGGGGCTTACATGATTCTGGGACATTGCAGCTGTCATAAATACGAGTCAGTTGCCAAGCATCTGAATTTTGATCAAGTGACGAGGTGGATGCTGCAATGGTTGTAAGTGTGAAAAATGGTCATAAGTCATTTTTTTTCAGTGCCATTGTAAACTCGAATGGCCACTAAATGAACTGTTGTAAGTCAAGGACTACCTGTATTTGGAACACATTCATACAAAGATTCTGTCTCAGTTAAAAAACAACTACAGGCCTTTATAATCCTACTGCTTTGGCTAAATTGGCAGTTTACCTGATTTATTTCTTTTTAGCTCTAAAATAACCCAAACCACATAAAAGCTTGCTTTTTTCCTAAATATGGCATTCCACAGAATTTATGGGTATTCCATTTCCTCCCTGGAGCAAAACCCTTGTTTTCTGAGCCTCAGCCATCACCGAGGTCTTTTAAAGGGAATATGTCCTTGATTCCATTGTGAAATTGTCAAGATTTTGACAATTTCCCTTTCTCTTTCTGATGGACCAGGCACTTGGGAAAATACCCAACTTTTTAAAAAACTTTTTTTTCTCTTTCCCTTTTATGTGGAATGGGAAAATGAGATTTTGGTTACTCCCAAGGCAGAGGAAAAAGTCCCCTTACAAGCAGTTCTTCTTTAAATTGCCTAAAAATTAAGAATTTTCTTTAGAATTTGCAGGCTATTCTTGCTCCTGACAACTACAATAGGAGACATTAGGGAAAGTTGCAAAAGTTATGACTAGACATGCTACCTTTGCAGCAATCAAAGGAGATTTTTCTCATAAGAGGAATGATAGCTTCACTTTGTTACAAATTCTTATATATTTACAAGTAAGGAAAAGTATACTAAAGACCTAGGGTGGCGGGGAGGACTACCAATTTAATTATTGGAGTGGAAATTTTGTTGTAGTTGTTCATGAGCAGGCAGTAACTTAAATGGGCCTCTGATTCAATGATTTTGGGGTTTGGGGTGTTTTTAGTCTTCTGCTAGTTAGTTGGAGGAAGCACTGATTGGCTCATTCTCTTCTCAGCACCTTCTCAGTGTGCTTAAGTCAGCAGGAGTGAAGATGGTTGGCAAATCTTTGAACTGCTTTGGAAGGATTGGGTAAATGTCTATGGAGATTTTCAGTCATCCAGGTTATGGTTGTCTCAAAGGTGCTTTTTCAAGAGGCAACTGGACTTCCTTGATTTTCTTTGAAGATGTTTCGCTTCTCATCCAAGAAGCTTCTTCAGCTCTGACTGGATGGTGGGAAATGGAAGGATTTATATTCCTTGCAGACCAGTGGTGGTATTCAGCTGGTTCTATCCGGCTCGAGCAAACCGGTAGTGGCGGCTACAGGAGGCTGCACCCATCCACCTGACCGTCATCACGTCCTGTTTTTGTTGATCTGTGCATGCGTGCGTGCTCACATTTGCGAACCTGTAGCAAAGGTAAATGAATACAACCCCTGTTGCAGACAGCTGATCATTTGCATTCTTTTAAAGAGTTGTTGAGGCCACTTGGAGATTTATCTGTGTCCTCGGGATTAATGAATAGTGCAAATGGATGTGGAGCCATCTTGGAACTGCTGAAAGGACTGCATTGTAGAATGGAGATAGATGATATCGTATCCCTCCCCCTCTATTGGGAGAGGGCTGTTCAATTTTGACATAGATGGCCTCTTTGACCCTTCTTTCAAACCAGCAGTCCTCTCTGTCGAAATGTGGACTTTGCTGACTTCAAAAGAGTGATCTTTGTCTTTTAAAAGACAAGTGGAGGAGTACAACATCATCTATCTCCAGTCAACAACAACAATCCTTTCAGCAGTTCCAAGAAGGCTCCACACCCATTTGCACTACTCAGGTGAGGACACAGATAAACATCCAAGTGGCCTCAACGACTCCCTAAAAGAATGCAAGTGACGAGCTGTCCGCAAGGAGTATAAATCCTTCCATTCCCCACCATCCAGTCAGAGCTGAAGAAGCTTCTTGGATGAGAAGCGAAACGTCTTCAAAGAAAAAGAAGAAAGTCCTCTTGAAAAAAGCACCTTTGGGAGGGATTGGATAAAGAAAACAGTGCCATATGAAGTGGCACACTTCACACACACATACCATACTGTTGTTGGATCAGCTGCACATTCGAAGGAATGGAACAAATTCCAAGACTTTTCAAGCGGGTAGTAAAGAAGACTTAACACAAAGCTGAGCATCTTTTCAGCAATACAGAGTTTTAGGGTGGGGCAATTAAAGCTCAGCTTTGCCATTTCGTACCCAAACCAATGTTGGTTTTGGAACCAAAGGTCAGTTAAGTCATAGTTACTTCTCTTCTATCTGATTCCGGCCAAATCCAGGAAAGCTCACTTTCTCATTCTGTCTCTCTCTCTCTCCTTCCTAGACTGCAAGCTCTGCTGCAGCATCTCCTTGGAAAGAGAGTACCAAAAATACCAAACCAGGCACAGTAGTGGAGCTGAAGCCCTGCATAGAAAGCAGCACAGGAGTGGCAGACCTATCCAAGTGGAGCCTTCTCCTAGCCCAGTTCAACTGTGACATGGTGCAGGTAAAGAAAGAAAATGTGCAAAGGAAGAAATTGGCTTAACTCTCACCCCAAAAGAGGACAATAAAAGGCTGTCTTCTGCTCTTCTTTTCAAAACTGCAGTAGAAAGGAAGAGAGTGCAGTGTTTTGCTGCCAAAGGACTTTCCTTTATTAGAGTGAGAGGACGTGCAGATGGAAAGAAGCAAGGTTCTTTGGCTAGCGGGAGGGAAGCTGTTGCTATGGCATGAGGTCATCCTTGGCAGCCTCTCTTTAAGGCAAAGGACAGAGGACAGTAGGTCAGTCCACAGAAATGTTGATTTTTTTCCCTCCCTTTTTTTTTTAAGGAAAGGGCATGACTTAGACGTCTCACTTTTGTGCAGGGAGGGCAGTTAAATGTGTTGGTGTAAGTCTGCAAACACAGAATGGGCTGTGAACATGTGCCTTCAAATAAAACAGTGAAATAAACTATTGTTTTTAGAAGGTTCTGAAAGTCTTGAATATGGACTCCAGTAAGGAAAGTCCCTGGTTTACTGTCATCATTTAACTATTTCACTGGCCATGAAAGAAATTGCTCAATTAGTTTCTGCTGACACTTTAGAAAGAGTCAGATGACACAAACACAAAAAATTTAATGGTGTCCCACCTGTTCTGGGAAGCTGCTAATGCTTGCCTGGTTCTTGGGTGTAGGCAATCCAAGACAGAAGCTCAGATTGTGCAATTTCCTTGACTGCCTCCTTTCTAGATCTTGGTAATCCCAAAATTTCTTGGTTTATGAAGCACAAAGCAAGAATGTGGATATTGTGTAGATATCAAAGTGAGTCATGTAGCTATGAGTTTAATAACTGAACGCTGATAGATTTAGCAGTCCTTAGTGAAGATGAAAAGCTGCTAGAATAGTGAATATTTTATTACTTGAAGCATCTAAATGCATGTCTCAACTTTTAGGGCAGGTCTGTGTGTAGGTGAGAAAGATGGAATGACTGAGTTTCACATAGCAACAGTAATGGGGCTAATGTCAGATGCAAATAACCAGGAGCATTTGTTGAGTTCAAAGCACAGGAGAGTTTATTATTGCTACTTATACATAAGAATCTAGTCAACTAATGGTCAAAGCTAAATTGGCACTAGATAAGGGTCAGTAGAATTCACTGGAGGATGGACTTGGGTCTGTTGTGGCAACACAGTGATTCCAAACTGATGACATGTTTAGCTCCACCTTGCAGCTCAGCCTGCTCTTTTCCTACAGTTTATTCATTTCATCCAAGCTATGAGCTGTCCGTTGAATAACTCACAATGAATGGATTCATACATTGTGCAAAACCTAAGCAAATTTCATTACACCTACATGTATGAACCTAGTCATTGGATGTGTACTTGTGTTCCCCAAACCTTTAGCCACTCCAGAGGAAAGAAGATGCATGCATGTGTTGTAAATAGGAAATTATCTTCCTCCAAGTTAGATTGTGTAATCATCCACCTAGTCTGCATTCTGGCAGCAGCTTTCTGGGATCAGGCAGCATTTTTCTCTAGTGCTTGCAATCAGATTATTTAATTAGAGTTGGTAGGATTTATACTATGGTCTTTTACTACGGAACAATATTGCTTTTCTAAAGATCTTTTAGTAACAAAAGGCATTATTCAGATTACCTGCATGCTTGTCCAACACAAGTCTCTCTTATGCCTCATCCGCTAATCCAGTGTTTCTCAACCTCAGGAACTTTAAGACATGTTTTATTCCCATGTTGGTTGAGGAATTCTGGGAATTAATGTCCACATGTCTTAACATTGCAATACGTCTGTAAATCTTTGGTTTTCCAGTTATCTTTGGTTTGGTCCAGTTATAGTTATTTTCATTGTCTTAGAAAGTTTTATTTATTTAAGAAAATGTATACGGCTGCCCAACTCTCTCTCTGTGATTCCGGGCAGCTTACAAAAATAAGAAAACCTAATATAAAACAATAAAAAGCAATAATCCCTCACCCTCTTGGTGACAACAGTTAATCAAATAAGCCATCTGTGTTCCCAGGCCCATTGGCAATACCAGGTCTTCAGGGCCTTCCAAAGAGGATCAGATGTGGGGGGAGGAAGAAATCTTATTTCTGCGGGATGATGTTCCACAGGGAGGGAGCCATCACAAAGAAGGCTCTTCTTCTTGATCCCACTAGATGTACCTCCTTAGGAGAGGGGACCCACAACATTCCTTGCTTCCCTGCTCTGGTAAATTGGGTCGATGTAATCAAGAGAAGATGGTCCTTCAAATTTATTTTATTTATTTATTTATTTTATCATATTTGTATACCGCCCTACTCCCGAAGGACTCAGGGCGGTGAACAGCCAAATTAAAATACAAAGACATACAAAAGTTAAAAAACTATTAAAAACAGATTAAATAATTTAGGCTCAAAAAACAAATTAAAACATCCAATTTATCTAAAAAACATTTAAAACCCAATTTAAAAGCCAATTTAAAAGGGAGAGTTAGACCAGCCTGTTGGAATAAAAACGTTTTTAGGGCGCGGCGGAAGATGCGTAAGTCTTGGATCCTTCGTATCTCCGGGGGGAGCTCGTTCCAGATGGCAGGTGCCCCCACAGAGAAGGCTCTCCCCCTGGGGGCCGCCAGTCGACATTGTTTGGCCGACGGCACCCTGAGGAGCCCCTCTCTATGGGAGCGAACTGGTCGGTGAGAGGCTACTGGTGGCAGAAGGCGGTCTCGTAAGTACCCTGGTCCCAAGCCATGTAGGTCTTTAAGGGTGACAACCAGCACCATGGATAGGATGCAGAAGCAAATCAGCAACCAATGCAACTCCTGCAGGAGAGATGACATATGTGCACACCTAGGCCTGCACAGAGCCATGCAGACCACTTCATTTAAGTTTTGCTGGAAGCCTCGCTACCACATTATAGTTCTGTAACATTTACTGTTACACAGTGGCTCAGTGGCTAAGACGCTGAGCTTGTTGATCGAAAGGTCGGCAATTCAGCAGCTCTTTGGCTTTGAAACGGAGATGAGCACTGCCCCCTAGAGTCGGGAACGACTAGCATGTATTTGCGAGGGGAACCTTTACCTTTACTTTTAACATCCACTGGAATAAATAACATGGGTACATAATCTTGTTTGAGTTCTTTATTGCGATACTAGAAGAGATCTTATTCATAGTGCCCTATATCCTTTGTCTTTTCCCACATAAGAGCTGACTTTTGAACTATAGCAAAGGATAGCAAACCATCTATATTTTTCCCCACCTGTTTATTTTTCATCCCTTTCAGGCTGAAAAATGGATGCGAGGAAAACTCCATGACCTGAAGGATGGTTGCAGATTTCAGGAATGGGAACGGATAGCTCAAATATTACAGAGAGAGATGAAGGATTTTGAGAATACCATCATCAAACTGAACCAGGTAAAATGTGGTCTGTGGGCTACTTCCTCTTACTTTACATCTGCATGAAAAAAAGACACCTGCATTTATTCTTCAGTAGCTCAGAATGCCTTAAATCTCCTCCTATCTACAAGATCCAGAGAGGGGAGAAAATACCAGTTTAAAATATTAATCAACTTTTTTCATGTTTTTCTGGAAAAGAAACAAAAGTGTGTATTCTTTTACTTCGGTGTAGCATGTTAATAGACATAAGAATAAATATTTCATAATTGCATTCAAAAATAAAACTATCGCATGTTGTTACAAATAAAGCTAGTGCAGATGTTCGTGAGATAGTGGGCTGCTGGAAATGTGCCAGTCCCTGCTTAAAGGCCAACTTTTTCTCCCTCTGTGGAATTTTCCACCAAATACCTCCCAGCTAAGTAAAGAATAAAGTCCCGGAAGAAAGCAACAGCAAACTGCTACAGTATTGTTGCCAAGAAAACAACATGGATATGTCCATGAAATCACCAAGTCAAGCTCAATTTGAAGTTTTTTAATGCTTAATTGTTTCCTTCTTACCTATTCCACGGTTAATTTAAAATCAGATGAAGATGAACTGTACAGAAGTTTTTATTAAAGCAGATTTTCTTCCAGACAAGAAAAGTAGTGTGAGCAAACAGGCTTCCCTTCTCTTTCTCACAACTACTTTATCAGAACTTTTTCTGTGCCATTTTCTCAGGAACAAGGCCAAATTAACCATGTAAGATATTTGTATGTCCACAAACCAAACTCCCTTCCTACTGAGTTCCTTCCTCTGCGTGCTACCCAGGGGTGGGTCCTACTTACCTTTACTACCAGTTTGCAACAGAGCCGCGCCGAAGCATCCTGATGTCGTCGGGGTCGGTGGGTGGAGCCTCCCACCAGTTTTACTACCGGTTCTATAGAACCGGTCCAAACCAGGGGCAACCCACCACTGGTGCCAGCTTAATATTCCAGGAATTGGAAATATCTTTGCATGTAATAGAGAGTTTCCTCAGTTGCCACTCTTTTATATACTATTCAATTCTCACTTGATTGGTTCAACAGTTACAGGATTCAACTGAGTCTTAGTATCCACATTAGATTATTTTTTTAGGTCTATTAAGATACTAGTGTACATACAATCTTTTTTTGTAATACTTTCCCATTGCTCCCAAATTAGTAAATTTTGACCCTCAATTTGTGAGAAGTTCCTCATCTGCTACATTCAGTTAACAACCTACTTTCATAACTGACATTTGAAAGCAACCTTGCCAGTTGACTTCTCATAGGGCTTAATTATCAAACTTTTTTTAAAAAAATGACAATCTAGGCCAAATAGAATATGCTGTGGAAATTTTATTTTTTGATTGCTAACCTCATTTTCTATACTTCTTTTCATTGGGCAAATGCATTTGCAAGACAATATGGTTGTAGTTTCAACGTTGTTAATATATTTTCCCCATCTTTCCTGCAGATGGGTGAACAGCTGATGATCCAACCAAAATCCAGCTCAGAGATAGAGAGACGACTTCAGACCTTGCAAGAACAATGGCAATTGCTGAAACATATGGCAACAAATCAGACTAAAACAGTAGTTGGGTTCAAGAACCTACAAGATTTCAACCAGAAAGCTGAACAACTAGAAGCCTGGATCAGGCAGAAGGTAATTACTTAGGATAAGTAGGAACAAGGCAGTGGTGGGATTCAAAATTTTTTACTACCGGTTCTGTGGGCGTGGCTTGGTGGGTGTGTCATGGCTTGGTGGGCGTGGCTTGGTGGGTGTGCCAGGGGAAGGATACTGTAAAATCTCCATTCCCTCCCACTCCAGGGGAAGGTTTCTGCAAAATCCCTATTTCCTCCCAGTCAGCTGGGACTCAGGAGGCAGAAAATAGATGGGGCGGGGCCAGTCAGAGGTGGATTTACCAGTCCTCCAAACTACTCCAAATTTCCACTACCGGTTCTCTAGAACTGGTCAGAACCTGCTGAATACCACCTCTGGAACAAGGCCAAAAAATGAGTCCCAGATACAGTTTCTTTTCAGAGATGTGAATTTTGTTATGGTGGTGGAAGTATGAGCCATTATTATTTTTTTCTGCATCATCATCATTCTCTGTGATGGAAGTGGGCAACCTTTTTGAGTAAGGATGGATGTGTCCAGTGATAATCTCTCTGGAGTGGGCAGCACTGAAAACTTTTTTTCAAACTTTATTTTGTGGTGGTTAGGATTGAAGTAATTGCTCAAGCCTTACAGAAGCCTAAATATGCATTTTGCCCTTTAAGACCCTCCAAAATGGCAAACATAGTCTTTTTTGGGGGGTGGAGAAGCCCTACCTAAGAAAAAAGACCCCCAAAATTTTATTTCTGCTTAGTCTGGAGGCATCTCCAGAAATTTCAAATAGAGAGCTGAGGCCTATTCACTTTTTTCTATAAGTTCATTGGTTCAAATATTTAAGGGACTTCAGGGGTTGTCACATTTAAGAAATTATTTACTCTGATTTCTTTTTTAAGTGGATACATTTTCATCAATAATCTAATTTGAGATAGAGAAAATATTTCTCCCCCCCTTCCCCCCCCCCTTCCTCAGGCTAGTGTTACTCAGACGTGGTGGATTTCAGTTCCAGTAGTAAACCCGAACTGTTACCTTTAATTAAAGTGTTTTTAAGGTTTTACATAAAGGAAAAGTTTGGGGCATTTCCAGGGGTGAAATGTAAAATTTGTAACTACCGATTCTGTGGGCGTGGCTTGGTGGGGGGGGTTAATGTGACTGGGTGGGCGTGGCCAACTTTTTTTTCTTTTTAACTTTTCAAAGCATTTTTTCTAATGTTTTGAAAAGCCTCTCTGCCGATCAGGAACTCAGCTAGGATTGTCAGAGACTTTCCAAAGCATTTTTTTAACCACCTCTTTGGCCAAGAGGTTGCAGAAAAAAATGTTTTGAAAAGCCTCTGATGATCCCAGCTGAACCGTGCGATAATCAGGGGCTATTTTTTTTTACTTTTAAAAGCATTTTTTCATCGGAAGAGGTTGTAGAAAAAATGCTTTTAAAAGTAAAAAAAAAAAAAAAGCCTCTGATGATCGTGCAGCTCAGCTGGGCATGGTGGGGGGGCAGGGATTTTTGCTACTGGTTCTCCGAACCACCTGTCGCCATCGCTACCAGATCGGGCGATCCGGTCTGAACCGGGAGCATTTCACCCCTGGGCATTTCTCTTTAAAGCTCAAAACAGGGAGAAAGCCAGGAGAACCTTATGGTGGTCAGAGTTTATCTACAGTGCCCTTCAGTCTTCAAAGGTTTTTTTCTTTTTTCTTTTAATTCTAGTAGACATTTTAATTTCAGTATCCATAACTTCTGTCCTTCACTTATATTCCATTTCTTGGCATAAGTTTAAAAATTTCTCAAGTTTCTTTCCTAAACTTGAAAAGAATGAAGAAAATCCTACCCCATTATAAATATTAGCAACCTTATTTAATTTTGCATAATTTACACAGATCTTAATATTCAAGTTTCTCTGGTATGCACGTTTACAAACACAATTTCTGTGTGTATTCTGAAGAAATATTTCCATGTTTTAAAATTTCCTGTAAATATTATGGTCACTTTGTTTTCCAGAATGTCTCATATTTTAATAATCTTTTCCTCTCTAGGAAGAGAAGCCTTTGCTAGCTATTTTACTGCAAGAGAAGGCAGATAAGGTACAAATTACCCGGCAGATCCTTGACTTAAAGCAGGTAATCTTCCTGACATTCTTTATGGGAATTTGTGTAGTGAATGGCATTTGAAGGATGTTTCTACTTTCATTTTGTTTTCTGTGTCTGATGTATTTGCAAAAATGTTCTGTTTTAGAAGAGCTCTGCAGATCTCCTCAATGTTGGACTCAGACTGAGCAAGTTCTCTTAAGGAACCCAAAGCATTGTTTTGCAGGTTAGCTGGGAAGAGTTTCATTCCCAAGGAAGTAAAGAGGGTTCTTTGGATTGCAAACTTTGCCACTAGTTTATTAGATTTATGCCCTCCTTGGTTTGTAAAAGCTTAAGTTATGTGGTTGAATCTATGCAGGAATGTCAATTTCCATGAGGGAAGGAGTGGTTCTTCTATCTTGAAGGAAGTAGTGGTGTATCATTGCTTGACCCAAGAGCCCTGGACAATTTTTGTCCAGTGTCCAACTTTTTTTTTTTAGGAAAATTTGTTGAGAAGTTGTTTGGACTGTGGCTTCAGTAGGCTGTAGAGAAGGTTATCTGGACCTTTTTCAGTTGGGTTTCAGACAGGAGCATAATACTATGGCAACATTGCTTACACTTGTTGATGACCTCTGGTAGAGTCAGGCAGTGGTGGCTCTGGTTCTGCTTGACCTTTGAGTGGTTTTCAGTATCAGATCATGGATTCTTTTGGATCACCCAAGGAGGTTAGAGAAAACTGTGTTGTGGTAGTTTTTCTCCTTTCTGGGTGGTTCCAATTACTGGAAGGAAGAGTTTAAGCCTGAGGTTCCTCACTTATGTGGTGTCTCAAGGCTCAATATTTTCAACTCTTGTCCTTAAAATCTACATAGGGTTACTAGGTGATATCCAGTTGCACATCTTGACCACAAACTGCCCAAATGATGTCACCAATATCTTATGCTAAAGTCCAGAGGCTGTGAGGATTCAGATGGCGATGAATAGACTCATGCTTCATCTAAGGAAGAATGTGTGGCTGTGGGTGTTTGGGTTCTTGATCCTGGAAATTTTCCATCTTTAGTCCTGGATGGAGTAGCACTTCCCATTCAGGACTGGTATGCAATACGGGAATTTTCTGGACATGCAACTCCTGCTAGAAGAGCAGGAGGTGGCCAGGAGGACCTTTGCACATATCTATCTGTTCCTGGACTAGGAGGTTCTTCAGACATCCACTGAATGTGAATAGTAACAGCACATCTCAATATGCACACATAAATCGGCTATTCTCTGCACTGTACTTGTTGCCAGTTTAATTTCTATTGGAGCAAAGAGAGAGAGAGATTTTAATGAAAACTAAGTTTACATTACTTTATTGTCTCCCCTCTTCTGCTTTTCCCCTACGCTCAACTTAGGAGGAGCTGCAATTCCAAGCTGTGCATGAGGAATTGAATAGCCTGGCTCAGAAGCTTGAGAAACAAGGGAAGAGTGAAAGCAGAAGTATCATGGCGCGTCGCAAGTACCTGAATAAAATGTAAGCCCAGGCAGCAGCTGATAGACAGGATGTACTGGTGCAGAGACAAGCTAGAGTATAATCTGATCGCATTTCTCTTAAGTTTCCGTGCTTGATATCTTTCTATTAAAATTCAATAATCAAGGCAGCTTTTTCAAGAAGGAGAGAGAGAACTAAACTGTTTACCTGTCCTTCTTCCGTCTTTTCAGGTGGCTTCAGCTCCAGAGGACATTAAAGGAACATCATGAAACCCTGCAGCAGGCACTAGAAGCAGCTTCTTTCCTCCAGCAAGCAGATGTGCTCCTTTCAGTCATCCATGCAAAGGTACTAAGGGATGAGATGACATTCCAGGCAACTGCACCATAAAAATAGATCTGGGTCATTGAATTACCTAGAAGCATGTATTTGGTTCAGCAGGATGCATCACTTTTATCCAAGCCCCTCGATTATGTGCAGTTTAATCCAGACTTCAGTTATCCTATATCCAGCAAGCTGATTGTGGCAAGATTGGATAGTCAACCCTGTAGCCAAGAAGGAATACTGCTCCTTTCCCTGAAATATTTCACAGCATACAGTTCTAGCTATACTATCTTACTTTATAAAGAGTAGTGTAATAAGGAATGGTTTGATGCTGTAATTTTTGCCTTCCTTAACAGATGTCCTGTATTTCAGCTTCTAGCAAGGTTGGGTAAAGCTGCTGTACAATTTCTAACTTTACAACGTGAAGATTTATAATTGATGTTATTCACCCAGTTAGATTTAGAAGCTCAGAAATCTTGGCTTGGATCATACAAAAATTCAAACTTTAAGAATTTAAATTTTTTAAAAAATTAAGGTTATTGGTTTTTATGAAGTAACATAAATAGCTATTTTGAGCATGGGTTCATATATTTTGAGAAGTGGGTAGTGGATATTAGATTGCTAGCTGTCTCTCTAGGTTTAAAGTCTATCCTTTCTGTTACAGTTGAGGCATCTTTATGGAGAAAGAAAACAGAATGAATCTGAGTCAAGTCCAGACATGGATATCCGGGATATTGCAAGCCAGGTCATGGTAAGTAATAGAATTATTATCTGGAATACTTAAGCTGAGAAAGAACGATATTTTTAGATCATAGAGGACCCATTTAAGAACATTAGATCAAACCTGCTACTCAGTACAAGAATCCAAGTTAAAGTACTCCCAACAGATTTCTATCCAGCTTCTCCTTGAATGTATCCAGTGAATAAGAATCCACCATCTTCCTTTGTAATTGGTTCCATAGATAATCAAAGACATCATAAATCCTTCATAGCATTAATAGGGATAGAAGAGATCTCCTACCTCCTGTCAAGTACAGGAATCCTCATACCATTCTGGACAAATGGCTGTCCAGTCTTTTATTGAAAACCTCCAGTGATAGAGCACTCACAACTTAAGGAGGAAGGCTGTTCCATTGCTGAGTAGCTTACATAGTTAGGAAATCTCCTTTAATTCAAATTTGGATTTCCAACAGTTGTTTCTTATATTGCCTCAGGTGCTAAAGAGAATAAATCTACGCCCTCTCTACTGTGACATCCATTCATGTATTGGAAGATTGCTATCATGTCTCTCCTTACCTTTTTTTTCTTTAAGTGAAACACCAAGTTCCTTTAAACGCTTCTGATAGAATTTAGCATTATATCACTGTTGCTTAGAACTGTCTCTCTGTCCCTCTTTCTCAGTTTTGACCTATTTTCTCCAATCTGGCCACTTCCAGATCTGTCAAATTCAATCCCCAAATCCCTAACCATGCTAGGTTCTGATTTTGGTTCTGCACTTCAGCTCCTGAACTATATCCAGAGTCAGTGGTCCATTATACTAGTGGTTATACAGTGTTAAAAAGTTAGGAAGCTAACTTTTCAGCAGAAGCCCTAGCTCCTTTAAAAAAAAAATGTCCTTGTTGATATGCATTTGCATCTGAAGAGCTCATTCAAAACATTTCTTTGGAGATGTTATAAGTTAGATGTGCACAATGTGACTCATCAAGCTGTATTTGGCTCATGAAGAGCTCAATAGAGCTTTCTGTAGCCCGTAACTGAAAAACAGAGCTTGGCAAGCACTTGCTGGCCACAAAGCATATGCCAAGTCTGATGTCTTTGGTTTGGTGGGTCAGATTGCACGGGCCCAGCCAATGGCAGATGGCCAATTACCACTCCCAATTATTCACGCTGTACCTTTTCCATACCTTTAGATGCTAGATGTGACCATGTCACAGCTTATAAGTCTTCACCCCAGTCTGGCAGCACAAGTATCCCTCAAACACCAAGATATCAAGGAGAGCTGGGCCCGCTTACAGCAACTGTTGAGGTATTTGCTGAATATTTGATCTGTAACTCCTTTCATAGTTTTAGTTAAGTACTTTATTTATGAAGCATCTAATTTTGAAATTGATATTCTTTTTTTTTAAAAAAAAACTAGAATTACCATCAGCACATCCTATCTTTTTTGGTGTGAGTGACTGAAGAAGGCATTCAGCAAAAGTTCACAAAGACCCAGGAACTATCATGGTCTCTGCTTCAGCCACAAAGCAAAATTAAGAGTTTAGCAATCATTCCAGTTTGTTCAGGCTTTGCACAAAGCATCACCTTTTTAAGTAAAAGATTTAAGTAGGTAAACCAGTTTCTCAACCTCAACAATTTTAAGATGCACGAACTTCAACTCCCAGAATTCCCTAGCCAGCATGCTGACTGGAGAATTCTAGCAGTTGATGTGTACACACCTTAAAGTTCCTGTGGCTGAGCAAACCTGGACTAAGTGCAGAGAAAAGTGGAATAAAAGGAGCCCCAAGGAGTTTATGGGTAAAAGGTAAAAGGAGATGGCTTGGTATGTGATATATAAACTTTAATCCAGAATCAATTTAAATGACTATTCTGGATGGATAGTTTCATATATCTAGAGGACAACACTTTGGAGAATATGTTTTAAGGTCTCTTAAATTCTAAGAGTTCTTCTTCCTTAAAAACTAGTCCTGATGCAGTGGTATCTGTAGCTTGGGTGTAGGATGTTACTTATACCACTGAGGATGTTACCTAGCCTGGTAACAAAACTTTCAGAAACCAAACCACAAGCCCAGAGAACGAACCTCTACCGTCACCAATCCTTATACCGTGTTTCCCCGAAAATAAGACCCTGTCTTATATTTATTTGAACCCTGAAATAAGTGCTTGGCCTTACTGCCATGCGCTCAAAAGCTCGATTGGGCTTATTATCAGGGGATATCTTATTTGGGGGGAAACAGGGTATTCGTTTGTTTTACTTTCAGCCTCCAAAATATTTTTTCTTGCCTGCAAGTCTGAGGGCAGGAACTCATTTTATTAATCTTTAAATTTCCACCTGTGGGAGCCTATAATTTTACATCCCCCTCAAAAAAAGCATAAAATGATTTAAATAATGCAGCTGTAATGAACAGAGCTAAGATTGCTCTGAGACAGGGCTAGATTTATTCTGTAGTGATTTTCATGTTGGCTTTCTGCCTCTCCTTTCCCCATTCTTATTGGAATCATTTTCTTTTATTTTTATTTGCTCAATTTTTCTACTTTCCCACGTTTTAGGAGTGATAATCCCCCAAAATTGGCTTTAACAAAGGAATTTATAGATTCAAGTCCTAATCCGGTACTGACTACAACTACAAAGAGTCCAGAAAATGATCCAGAAGAAAAACTACGGGAGGTAAGTGTTGCATTTAGGGCCACATCCATATAAAAAATGAACTTAATAAAATTTCCTTTGCTCCACATCTAGTTACATCACAGAAATCATAATTAATACTCTACTAAACCCATGAATCTGTGATCACAGTTGAATCTTTGATATTGATTCCAGATGAACACATTGATCTTCACTTTGTTGGCTTAAGCCTGTGATTAAACTACTACGGGTTAAAGAGGCCCTCTTGCCGCAACTTTCTGTTCATACATTTGTGGGACAGAGTTAGGATTATTTCTTTCTGAGAATGTAGGTGAAAAGTATCTCCTTGAATGGTTTTGGGGTGAAAGAGTAGAGAAGACTATGATCCGTTATTAAGTGATGGTCCTTTACTAGTCCTACATAACAAATATGGCATTTTGGGATTTTTAGTTAAATTAAACTCTGGCACAATAAGTTTTTGGATAATAAAGGAAGGAAGGAGACTTGAGAATAAAAAACAGGAGAGGTTTGTTATCTTCTCCCATTCTTGCTTCTTGAGTGAGTGCAACCTAACCATGCTACAAAATAATTGACATGAACTTCTGAAAAATGATAGCACGCTTGGGTTAAAGGCAGTTGCCAGAAAAGGATTCCATTATCCAGTGGTGGGATTCACGGGTTGTAACAACTGGTTCTCTTCGCGCGCCCTCTGGAGGCTGGAAATGGGCCTGTTTCTGGACTTCCGGTACTTCAGGTAGGCCCATTTTTCACCCTCCCCAGGCTCCGGAGGCTATACTAGAGCCTCCAGGAGGGTGAAAACAGCCTTCCCTGGGCTCCGGAGGCCCTCCGGAGGCTGGAAACAGGTCTGTTTCCGGACTTTTGGTAGGCCCATTTTTCACCCTCACAGAGCCTCTGCGCATGCCCTGCACTTATCTGGCATCCAAAATGGGCCACGTGGAGACTCCTGGGAGGGGCTGGGCAGGGTGGGCGGGGTCAGCCAGTCCTTGGAACAACCGGTTCGCTGAACCAGATTAAAATTAATCTGCTTCGAACCCGTCCAAACTGGCTGAATCCCACCCCTGCCATTATCATAGGGCCAATGACAATCTATTTAGTAACTCTCTAATCATTGGACATATTTTCCTAGGTGCAAAAGAACACTCCAGAAATCACAGTACAAGGTGTAAGAAGCCAAGAGAACAACTCAGATTTCTTAGGAAGAGAAGCCATCAACGGTGATAGCAGGAGGTATTGGCATACACAGTGCTGCCCTAGGGAAAGTGTTCTGGAAAATGGGAAATTGTGAAAAATGGAGCTGTGGGAATATCCAGGCAGGGAATTTGTTTTGATCTGCTTTATAGTTTAGCAAAAAAGTTTTTTCACAGCTCTCTAATGGAATGTGTGGATGACCTTGAGGGGAAAAAAATGGAAGAGATGCTACCTAGGAAACAATCAGAGAAGAGCCCCCAGTGATTTAACTGTCAGAGAAAGAAATTTAGGAAGGACCCGCCCTAATGGATCAAGCAATTAAATGTGGTGATGAGAAACTTCTGTTGCAAGATTTGTTTAAAGTAGCCTTACAATAAAGGAAAATTAGTTCATCTTTAAAAATTAGTTCATCTTGTCATGTTTCCTGTCTGGTTTACCCAGGAAAGCTGACTTATCCTGAAAGTCTGAAAGTACAAACTTCCTATTGCCACTTTTAAATGCTTGACCCATTAGGAAGGGTCCTTCCTAAGTTTCTTCCTCTGTCTTAAAGTCCCTGGGGGCTTCTGTTCCTCTTGTCTAGGTTGTCTCCTAGGCCAGGGGTCTCCAACCTTGGCAACTTTAAGACTTGTGGATTCAACTCCCAGAGTTCCTCAGCCAGCTAGGCCACATATCTTCCCCCATTTCTCCAAGGTCATCCATGCTTTCTATTACACCTACTGAAGAATGGTTCCTTATATATAGAATGGACCGGGGAAATATTTTTTACAGGTTTATTCTGTGAGCTTCATGGAAAAGCTGTATTGTCATGCATTTTAGATCAAACGTGGTGGGCAAATTGCAGTACAGAAGACTTCTGTATAGGTCCATGGAGCTCCATTCCATTCCCTTTGGTTTTCTGTTTTAAGTTCTCTCAAGAGTTGTTCGATATTATACGGCCACTGAGAATATTCTGGGGTTTGGGGAAGTTGGTTTCTGTTTTGTAATGTTGGAGTTCTCTTAACTCATGGATAACTTCATTGGTCTATGAATGATGCTATTTGGCAGCGTGGCAATCTTATCCCTGTGTTTGCCTGGCACTTAAAATATTAATAGCCTCCATTAAAATGTGTTGCAGTTCAAAGTGCTTGTGAATAAAATGAATACACACTCTTCTTTGTCTGTGGGTTTAATGTATAATGGCTGTTTCACACATGTGCACTTGATATGGCAGTAATCAACGGATGAATTGGAATGCATGACCTCAGCCTACTTCTCCATCTCCTGCAGGAGGAGGAAGTTTCTCAGACAGCCAAAGTCTTTAAAGGATCTGCCTCAACAAGAGGCACACCTTCAGGACATCTGCCAGGATGCTGATCGGGTAATGTCTCTATAGAAGTTTCATAGATTTTCCAAAGCCTTTTCATATTGCAGCCCACATGGATTCCCTTATTGTAGCAATAATGCTTGCTTTCCTTAGGCTGCTGGTTAGTTGCCACTTGGACGGAGAACCCTGGCATGAGTAGCAGATCTGGTCTACACATGCAGCAGGATGAGGTGGTAGAATATCGGGAATATAAACAGGGAAAATCAATTCCGCAAAGCTATTGCTATTCAAATAAAACAAACAAGGGAGAATGTTCTTTTTAAATTTTTCCTTGCTCCCCTAGATTTTTGCATTTCCAGGAAGTCCATGGAGGTTCTCAGTCATCCAGGTCCTGGTTGTCCCAAAAGTGCTTTTTCAAAAGGCAACTGAACGTTCTTGGTTTTTCTTTGAAGGCGTTTCACTTCTCATCCAAAAAGTTTCTTCAGTTCTGATTGAAGAAGTCAGAACTGAAGAAGCTTCTTGGATGAGAAGTGAAATATCTTCAAGGGAAAAAAAACAGTTGGCTTTGGCGGGGCGGGGGAAACACCTTTGGGATATTTCCAGGAAGATATTTTTTCTGCAAGAAACTTTAAAAATGTGAGCTTCAGAAATGTGAAGTACTATTAGGCAGAGTAAGTCATCTGCCTTAGGGAATGGATGTTAGAAAATGTGAGAACAGGGGCAGCAGAATGTTCCTTCTGAACCTATGGATGGCTCCTCATTCAATCTTGAGTACAGCCAATAAGGTAAAGGTAAAGGTTCCCCTCGCACATATGTGCTAGTTGTTCCCAACTCTAGGGGGCTCATCTCCGTTTCAAAGCCGAAGAGCCAGCGCTGTCCAAAGATGTCTCCGTGGTCATGTGGCCGGCATGACTAAATGCCAAAGGCGCACGGAACACTGTTACCTTCCCACCAAAGGTGGTCCCTATTTTTCTACTTGCATTTTTTACATGCTTTCGAACTGCTAGGTTGGCAGAAGCTGGGACAAGTAATGGGAGCTCACCCTGTTACACGGCACTAGGAATTTGTACCGCTGAACTGCCGACTTTTCGATTGACAAGCTCAGAGTCTTAGCCACTGAGCCACCACGTCCCTTTATACAGTCAATAAATTTCAATAAAAGATCTTTATTGTTGTGCACTACCCAGAGTCTCCTCTAGAGAAGTAGGGTAGCTATATAAGTTTGATTAATAAATGCATACATAAAATAAATAGAAGAGAAGCTATAATCTTGCTAACATTAAAGGATAATCCTGCTCTCAGGCTAGTTATCTTCAAGTGGTCCAACCAGTCCTAACTTTTTCAGAACTGTGCTGCCTCTTTACCACTTGCCTGTTCTATGAGCAAAATCTCTGTCAATATCAAAGTAGATGTGATCATTTCTGATTATATATCATTTTCCAGAAAGTTTTACTCAGAACAGTTTGCAGTCTGTAGTTTTTAAACACTGATTAGTTCCCACTGCATAGAGTAAGAAGCTCAAAGACTATTAGAACCTTGGAGTTGGGTAGTCTTAACAAATCTAATAAATAAAATTAAATAAAATACAGAGGGAACTTAGACATTTGGACTTTCCCCATCTGCAGCTAACTTTCTCATATTATCACCTTTTCTTTCCAGAATTCTTTTAGTTAAATAAAAGGGAAAACAACATAAAAAGGAGTTGATGCTCAGCCAATTAATACTAGAGAAAAGCAGTGTCAGAGTTTAGACAGCATAACTAGTATTATGAGATAAACCCGGGAGCAAAACACAGCACACAGAGCCTGGTTTATATACAGCTGAATGTTTACAGACTTATACGTGGTAAATATCTTATCATACAGCTACTGACACACTGAGAGCAATGAGATACACAACGAGAGAGAATATGAGGAGAAGGAAACGTCCTCTAATGGCTTCCCTTATATAGGCAGCTTCTTACCCAGCTTCTTAAAGTGTCAGTAACCCTGCTGCTTCATTCCCATTGCATCAGCTTTCAGCTTTACCTCTGCTTACAACCTTCCATCAGCTTATAGCTATTAAATCTACATTCCCTGATAAGCAGATCTTTGTGAATAATAATGTACTCTATTCAGGCTCTGCCTGAAGAGGAAGTCAAAGAGGCAGAGGTATTGCATTCCGAAGATCTTAGGTTAAAACCATTGCATCTCCTACTTAAAGGATTAGGAAATGAAAGGTCTTTATTTGAGACCTTCAAGAGCATTGGTGATATTCTAGAGAATAAAATCAATGAGTAAGTGATATGACATAAAGCAAATGGCAGATTTTATTTTAGTCCATATTAAGAATGTATATATTTTGCACTACTTAGGAAATACAGCAGTTGCTACATACTGATCATAGGTGGAGTCCAGAAATGGAAGATGCCCTTGAGGAACTAGGAGAATTATGGGCTGAATTAAAAAAAAGGCATCAGGAAAATGGCAAGGCATTACAGGAAATTGACACAGTGAGTAGTAGCCATCCCTGGAAGCAATATTTTATTCTTCCTTTCTCATTTGCAATAGTTCAGCGAGTATTGTGTATGTTTCCCCTGCAATCCTGGATGTGGAAATGGAAGCAGGGGAATGTACCATGTTAAATTGAGACAAATGCTACCAGATGAGCTCTGGTGGAATGGGAAACAGGAATTAAGAAAACAAGTCCCTTCTAAAACTTGCATCTTACTCATTGCAAGTTCTAGTCCCAAGATAACTTCCATTTTTGTTCTCTCTCCAAGCGCTTCATTTGCTGTGAAATTTTTTTACAAGCATCTGGATTTGCTTCTTTTTGGTGGAGTGTTCCTGCACAATTTTTCCTACTGTTAGAAAGTTGACCCCGGGGATTTGTGTGAAGTATTTTCTCCTCCAAAGAAGACTACTTGGGTGCTATATATCATAGGCTAAATGTAGATCATGTATGTTATTCCTTTCTCTTTGCAGGCTTTGCAGCTGGTTGGGGAGCTAGAAGCAGCTGAGTGTTGGCTAGAAACTGTGGCAGGCTTGCTCTCTGAGCCAAGAGCAACAAAGAACCTTGATGACCTCCAGAAAGATCTGCAAAAAATTGGCACCTTGAAGAACAAAGCTGGAGCATGGGCTGCTAAGATTCACACTCTGCAGGAAGAAATGCAGATGGTGTCCTCCTCGGAACACACAGCAGCTACGATGATTCAGAGAAAAATGAAACGAGTAAAGGAAAAGTAAGTTCCTAAGGATCAAAATACTGTAGTGTTTTCTGGGCAGAACTAATATAACAGCTGGGCGTTTCAGAAGGTAATACAAAGAGACCGCATTTCTTCAGGGAGGCCTTATTTAAAAGACAGCTAAGCAAGAAAAGTTGACTTAAAGAAATAGGGCTGTTTAATAAGGTTTTTCTTGTTGCTAGAGGTTTGTCTCCTGAGCTAACCTGTTGTTTCTGCTTGATAAAGCAGAGTAAATTTCTCTGTGCCTTATATTGCTAAATAGTTTACATTTTCTCACCAGGCTGGCCTGTGTACAGGAAGCCCTCCAGCGCCAAGCATCCGATTTACACGACTCCCTGATTTTAATGGAGTTCTTACAGAATGTCCAGATGGATCAGACGCTAAACCAAAAAAACCAAATAAAGGTGAGAAGCAAAGAAAAGGAGGAGAAATGAATTACAGAATTATGGAATAACAAGAGTTGGAGGAAGGACTTTTGAGGATTTCTAGTCCAAATCCCTGCTGAAGCAGGAGACCCTATACCATTGCAGACCAATGGCTGTCAAATCTCTTCTTAAAAACCTCCAGTGATGGAGCACATACAACTTTTGAAGGCAAACAATTCCACTCATTAATTGTTCTCATTGACAGGAAATCAGGTTGAACCTCTCTTTGGATCAGCTTCCATATGTTACTTCTTATTTTGCTCTGAGGTGCTATGGAGAATAGATCAGTCCAGTGATGAAATCCAATTTTTTTTACTACCGGTTCTGTGGGCATGGCTTGGTGGGCATGGTGTGGCTTGGTGGGCGTGGCTTGGTGAGCGTGGCAGGGGAAGGATACTGCAAAATCTCCATTCCCATCCCACTCAGCCAGAGTGGTATTTGCCATTCTTCAAACTACTCAAAATTTCTGCTACTGGTTCTCCAGAATCTGTCAGAACCTGCTGAATTTCACCCCTGGATCAGTCCCCCTCTTCTCTGTGACAGAAATGTGATCTCAATACCTTCCAATCAGTGGAAGTATACATTATGAGAGACTTCTCTTTATTGTTTCATTTGGACAGCAGGATGTCATCTGATATCTCAGTTCAGAGTTAACTCACCAAAATAAGGCTTTTGCTATTAAGGGTCAGGATTTCAATCCTTGCTTGGATATAACTTAGTTCTGGGATGGTTTATTGTCTCTAAGCAGATCATTTGGTGACCAAGAGTAGTTGTTACCCTTTTTTTCAGGATTCATTGAATCTCAAGAGAAATATGGCAACTAAATTACAATTGGTAAAGACTTTTTATAGCTGAATTTTAACCTCATTTTAGTTCTGATCATCTCCAATTGTGAAAGCATTGGCTCTAATCCACTAACTGCAACAACTGACACTAGATGAACTGTCATAATAATCTGCCTGGCTGTTTACTGAAATATCTCTTGAAGTTCATGAGAAAGAACTGGCATTTAAAAATATGGTAGATATCAATCTCCCTTATAGGCTGATTCAGTGGTGAATTCAAAAATTTTCCCTACTGGTTCTGTGGGCGTGACTGGGTGAGCATGGCTTGGTGGTCATGTGACTGGGTGGGCGTGGCTTGGTGGTCATGTGACCGGGAATATCTGGCAATTGGACTTTCTTGGTTTTCTTGGACAACATTTTGCTTCTCATCCAAGAAGCTTCTTCAACCATGACTTAGATGATTGAGAAGCTCCATAGACATTATGGATCAAATGTTTGTCTGAATATAAAAAGAGAGATGAGATGAGTTTTTCATGTCATTTTATAACTGATAGAGAATTGGTACCATTGAATGCTTGTCATATACTCTGTTGTGTGATCATAAAAGCATTCAGTACCCATTTTCTTCAGTTCCCAAATGTTGGCATATAATTCAAAAGAAAATGAGCATCAAGAAAAACAGTAAGTCTTCCAAAACAAAATTAATATGTGAAGCAAATTTTGTCCTAAAGAGAATCACTATGAAAGACCACATCATAAGAACCAATCCCAGGCTTGTAATTTTTGTAAATAGCACTAAGATTCTCAGGCACTTACCAGCCCTTGTGTAGACTTCAAACAAAGTTTTAACTGAATATCCAATGATTCTGCTTTTCATGGGAAGGGAAAGCTCATTGAGCAACAATTAGTTATTACTCCAATTACTTGGTTTAAGATACACTCTCCAAACCCTGTCCAAGTTCTTATGAAAGGATTATCTTGTTATTTTCAATTTTGGATTTCCCTCTAACATTCATGTAACATGTTCATACAGAATAAAACAGTTGGAATGCTATTGAATGCTAACCCATTTAATACATTAGAATGAGAATTCCATATTTACCTAACAGCCAAACATGTTAAATATACCAGTTTCTGAGTTACCTACAAAGGCAAAAACCCAGGAAGCAAAATTTACCATTTATGACTATAAAGTAAACTGTATGATATAAACTTAAATCTAGAGCATTTTTTCCCATCAGTTTTAAATGGAGCAGGATTTAGGGTGGACAAAAATTATTCTGTGACTTTGAACTTTTTCATGATATTTGGATAACAAATGTGAATCATACATATCACTGGATATGTACATTAGTATAATATTTTATAGAGAAATATTATAATATAATATAATATAATATAATATAATATAATATAATATAATATATAATATAATATAATATAATATAATATAATATAATATAATATAATATAATAAATATATATAATATAATATATAATATAATATTTTATAGAGAAATTTTTATGTCTCTGACAAGTTTGCTGGAAAATTCATTTGGATAATTAGGAAAGATTTTACTTTCTTACCTTAAGCTTTCTGAGTGGAGCAGTAAGGCTGGCTGGAGAATTTTGGGAGTTGACGTCCATCCATCTTAAAGCTGAGAAAGACAGGAGTAGAGAAATAGGGATAGTATAATATCCTGTCCCTGTGCATTTCTCATGAAAACGTCTCTATTTTTTTAAACAGCGTATATTTTGTGTGAAGTTTTCAGTTATTATTTCAGTCATTGTTGAGATGGGTTGCTATATAGACTGATGCATTGGGTAAATAAATAAATATGGATTGATTATCTGGGGACAGTGTGTTACCAGTTTCATCTATATTGAGATTTATCAGGCATATGTAGCCAGATCTATTTCTAGATATAGTGCATGATGCTAATCACAGCACAGTCACATAAAATGCAGTGTTGTATGAGTTCATTCCTGGATTTGAACCCCAATAAGGTGGATCTGACTAAATACATCTTAAGTCCCAATAAGGATGGTAACCTATGGCCTCATTGTAGTCCATGAAATAGAAGATTTTTCCCTGATCTTATCAGGACCCTATACAGATAGTCCTCAACTTATAATTGTTCATTTAGTGACTGTTCAAAATTACAGCGGCACTGAAAAATATAATTTATGACATATTCTAGTAGAGAGAAGTTCCCTGAAGATGGGCTCCAGCATGAGTCCGAAAGCTCAGAAAAGTAAATTTCTGCTCCTGATGACTTACCCAGATTCGATCTTGATTGATGACCATTTTTCACAATTACAACTGTTGCAGCATCCCCATGGTCACATGATCAAAATTTGGATGCTTGGCAACTGGTTCATATTGACGTTGGTTGCAGTGTCCTGCGGTCTTGTGATCTACTTTTGCAATCTTCTGACAATCAAAGTCAATGGGGAAGCTAGATTCACTTAACAACCATGTTATTAACTTAACAATTGCAGTGATCCACATAATAACTCTGACAAAAAAGGTCATAAAATGGGTCAAAATTCACTTAACCACTGTCTTGCTTAGTGACAGAAATGTTGGGCTAGATTGTGGTTGTAAGTCAAGGACTACCTGTATAAGCTCTTTTTCTTCAAGTATTTTCATCAGAATCTAATTAAAAGTCTATTGGTAAATCAGACATTTCACAATTAAAGACTCCTTTATTAACATCCTTTTCCCCCTATCTTTAGCAATGGTAAAACTGTTTGTGTTTTTTCTATGTCACTGTGCTTCCAGATACTTACCCTGTTTTTTAGTATTTTATTAGTGTTTTCTAAGTTGTTATAGCAGCTTTAGAAATCGTTTGACTAACTGGGAAACCATGTTTCCTCTTGTATGAATTTTATCTGTAATTGTATCAAAACATGTTTGGAATATGTCCATTGAATCTTGTATTCCTCTAAACTTTCTAGTAAGATCCTTACTCATTTCTTTAAGAGAGGACATCACACTTTCAATTTTTTTCAATGGATATTTCAATGAACAGCTGGTGCTGTAGCATTGTACATCATTCTAGCACAAGTTAGAGCCTCAAGACAGTCCTCCTTTTGAAGATATCTAGGCAGTATATAGCAACAGCAATAGCGCTTAGACTTATATACCGCTTCATAATGTTTTACAGCCCTCTCTAAGTGGTTTACAGAGTCTGCATATTGCCCCCAACAATCTGGGTCCTCATTTTACCCATCTCGGAAGGATGAAAGGCTGAGTCAACCTATATATGTTATTTAGATCAAGAAACATAGATTGATCACTTGTTTATCCATTTTAATTAAGGAGAATTTTTTTCTTCCACTCAATCATGTGTGATTCTTGGAGACTGCCTGGGCAAGTCCCTGAAGTTTTCTTGGCAAGGTTTTTCAGAAGTGGTTTGCTATTGCCTCATACCTAGAGCTAAGAGAGAATGACTGGTCCAAGATTACCCAGCTGGCTTTGTGCTGGATCTTCCCATTTCTAGCCTGATGCCCTGACTACCACACAAAACTCGGTCTCAATTAAGGAGATATATAACTCTAAGGCAAAAAGAACAGAAAAACACACAAACAACTTGACTAGCAATTTAAATAACAAATGATTAATCTTATTGAGTGGGATTCAGTCTTACTACCTTTCTGTTTTAAATTCCTCCTTTGTAGAATTGAAATAATGTTAATTTCTTTCCAAAATTGCTGTGATAATTAATAGAATCATCTATGTATTTTAATACCAATATTGCTTGTATTCTTATTTTGCTTCAGGATGCACCAAACCAGTTCGGTTCCCCAGAATCTTTGCACCTTGTCTTAGCCCAAAGCGCTCAACAGGGGAACAGTAAGGACATGAGTAGACCACTAAAGGAATTGCAAGAAGCAGTGGAAATGCTGAACAATGTGGTGAAGGAACGAGAGCAGACCTTGAAGGCGGCAACTGAAACTGAGAGCCTGGAATACTTTCCTCAGGTCGTGAAAGATAAGGAGGAAATTGTGGTAAGAGAAAGCTAAGAAGTGCCACATATTAGAATACTTCTCTAATGGTTACAGAGAGAACATCGACAGTTTTTACCCTGGCCCAACTCATTGCTTGTTGTGATAATGTTTCTGGTATTGAAACAAGAATCTGAGGCATACTGATCAGTAGTTTTTCCTGACTATCTATTAAAGATATGTCTATACCAGCAATGCAAAATCTTTTTCAGGTTGTCATATTGTTGGCTTGCTTTAATCCAGTGCAACTCTTCATGCAGACTAAAATCTTGAAAGGTGTTTAGAGGAGGCTGATTTATATCAAGTGAGATTGCTATGGTCCATTGAATTCTGTATTGTCTACCCCAGGGGTCTGCAACCTTAAACACTCAAAAGAGCCATTTGGACCCGTTTCCCCCAGAAAAGAAAACACCAGGTGCCACAAAACCCCTCCCGTGCCTGACTATTTCTTGAGCGGCCACAAAACTAGCATATGTAGTTGAATTAAACATTCTGTTTTCTTCTGAAACTTTTCTTGGATTCATCCATGGTTGAAAAGCTCAATAAATTGCGTGCCGGTGGGTGTTGCACATTGGCAGTTGTGATGCATATTTTGAGTGACAGGGAGCCACAGCAGAGGGGTGAAAGAGCCACATGCAGCTCCAGAGCCGCAGGTTGCTGACTCCTGGTCTACTCTGACTGTCAATAGTGCTTGACAGTCAGAGCAATGAAGAATTCAAGGAGAATTTTTCAGAGATTTAGAGATCCTGGGGATTGAACCTGAGATCCTTTTGCATGTAAATCATGTCCTTCACCTGTGATGAGTTTCCCAAAGTAAATGAGTTGCTCCTCACATTTCTTTCCATATTACTGAGACTACTGTTCTTATATTACTGAGACTCTGTTTACACTACATTCTGTCTCATGCCTTTTCACTCTATCCCTACATGGCTTTTCGCCATATCTCATCCATATAGAAATTACGGGAATTTCTATAAATTTCTATAAATTTTCTATAAATTTTCAAATATATTGAATCAAACGTGTAAATGGTCCAAACGAGCACTATAGTGGATACTATGAAATCCTTCAACAAATCCCAGAAATGGGTCTGCAAATCTAAGAATCGTAAGGGAAGGAGGTACATGTCAAAAATGCATGACAATATTTTGTCTAAAGAAAAAGAGCCAGTGTGAATATCCTAGTTTTCATATTAATAGATCTGCAGTAAGATGCAAATTAAGACCAACATACAGCCATTTTAGGGGGTGAAAATAATGTAAAATCAGCTTGGACAGAAAATGTCCTTAAATGATGGAAGGATGAGCCAAACTCAGAAACCTAGAATTCAGTCTGGGGTAAACCAAAGAGGTTCTGCATCTAGACAAGTACAATTTCAGGGTTTGTGTATTATATACCGGTTCATAATGCTTTACAGTCCTCTGTAAGCAGTTTACAGAGTCAGCCTATTGCCCCCAACAATCTGGGTCCTTGTTTTACCAACCTCAGAAGGATGGAAGGCTGAGTCAACCTTGAGCTGGCCAGGATTAAACACCTGGCAGCTGGCAGAGTTAGCATGCAATATTGTATTCTAATCACTGTGCCACCACAGCTCTATATAGCATCCTATCAAGAAATGTAGGGTACTGAGTGCCATTGATAATGTTTCATGTTTGTTCTTTCTCTTCTCAGCTGAGCTGGGTTACCTCACAGATTGAAACAATTGGGGAGAGAGCAGAAACACTGGCTCAGGACCTCATTCAAGCAGAGAAGAGTTTTACCACAGTAAAAACCGAGAGGGATCTGCTTGATGTGCAGGGCATACAGAAAAGGCAAGAAGAGATAGAGGTGAGATCCAGAGCTTTGGTTCTGACTTTGAAGAATGTTGAAATTGTGTTGGTTTTCCCCACTTTGGAAAGTTTTCGGATGGCACTGGTTTTTAAAATTAAAATTAATTAAAATGCACTGTACAACTATTCTGTGTTTTCCTCCTTTATGCTTCCATTTGTAAATATAAATGGAGGAACTGGTAGGAAATGGAGGAGTTACAAATGGAGGGTAATATCATCTGCATCCCTTGTAAAAATCCAGGAATGAGGTAAGGAAATTGTTTAATAACTGTTCCATTGGGAACCATTCCATCTCCTGTTAATCTTATCTGCAATGAGAGCTAACTTTTCTTGTTTAGCTCATTCTGTTGTTCTTTTTTATGAGTTTGGCCTTGGGCTAATCTCAAATGTATGTGGGTGAAGAATGTCTTGGGATTTAGAATTAGATTGATTCTGGTATATAAGAACAAATATATTTTGCTGTAGTCAGAATGTCCCAAATGACACTTACTGGATGCTTAAATGCATTCCTGGACTTTGTAGGTTGAAGATTTGGGGGGGGGGGATTTAATCGTTGGAAATAGTTGAACATATTCCAAGGGTTAAGTGGTGTGAAGTGCTTTTCATGTTTGCACAGATGTAAATGCATCAACAATTAGCCCAATGTCCACAAAGTTGCTGGGCTCAGTAGCCACTCCCCCAAATAAGTTTCATTATCTCATAGCAGATGTGAGGACTATAGATCTTAAAGAAGACATTATACATAGTATTCTGCCTATTACCATTGCAAATCACAGATTATCTCACAAGTTTAAGTTTGACTATAATTTTGAGCAGTACTTTTGAAAGAGGTATAATGTTTATTGGTTCTGATCATCTGTGCTTTTTTAAAAAGCTTTTTCCCCTCCAAAAAAATCAATAGCAAGAAACCTATCCTTTCTGGGATAGCAACAAGAATTTGCTATCCTGGAGGAACCAAGAAAGTGTCTCCACCACTGTGAATCCTGTTGTTCTGTGTCCCATAGAGTGATATGTCTCAGCTGGAAAGAAATATAGAGGAACTGGAAAGAGCAGTTACTCACCTGGTTGAAGTATCTGATGACTCCAAACCAATTCTTGAAATATTAGAGGCTTGGAAAGATCTCCAAAAACTGGTGCTAGAAAATTCAGTTCATGGACACCAGACTGTTCGCTTATGGCAATTCTTTAAAGGCTACCTGGCCATTATGTAAGTTAGTTTCTCTTTCTCTTATTCTTCTTAAAATCTTGGGATGCAAGATGCCCAGAATTAAGAACTGTCTTAAATTACAAAAAAAAAAAAAAAAAAAGCTTGCTTTTCAGACAGCATACCGACATTTTGTTGGAAGAAAAAGTCCATCTGGTTCAATTCCAAGCCAGCAGAAAGGCAAGGGAAATAAAATGGAGGCTTATTGGAAAGAAGGATTCTGTTTATTGATGAGTAGAACCACCAACAGCATGTGGTTCTGGGGCAGCTGACCAAATGGCTGAATGAGTGGATGGATCTTTATAGGTTTCTGGGGCTTTATGTTTGAAATGCTTCAGGGGATTATGCAATGTAGTGAGCCTGGTATCTTTTGCTATTCTAATGGTGGTGAGTTAATCCTATTATTGTCCTAAAAGGTCACCTCCTGTCCTTAGAATTTGGGTGGAGAAATGCAAATTTTAATCCCATCGTTTGGAGGTGAAGGTGTTTTGTTTGTGAATAGGCTGGTTCAATCTTTCTTAATGGTCACTGGAGGCCCAGTCTGCTGGAGGCTATTAAGAAAGACCAGGACTGCTTTCTGCCTCTAAGAACAGGTTTCTCCATTTCTCCTTTGGAGAAATAGAATATTCTACTTCTTTTAATATTCCCAAAATTTTTCATTTTCTAGAACGGGGGGCAGCTTCCCACAGTTGCCTTACAATTCATACCATATAGCTTTCTAGTTAGTCTTATTTTCTTTGTACTTTTTATACTTCAGCAAGAATGCATCCTGCTCCTAGAGAAATCTTGGGGAGGGCATGACGTTTTTAAATTAATTAAATATCAGAATCAGGAAATAGTCCTTTTACTTAAAAAAATTAAACTTTCCTTAGCCTCCAAACTGTTTTGTTACTAATCACATCTGTGAGATGTTTTTGTTTTGAAGACGATTCAGTTAGCTTGTTAAATCTATTTCAGTCCTAGGCACAGTTCTCTATAGCAAGTATTTCTTGATATCGAATTGCGTGCAATCTGAATGTAAATTGTCACAGTTGACAAACATACTGGGAAGTTGCCATTGGCTACATATTTCCTTGCTTTATACACCTTTATTGAACAAAATATGCAAGCAAATATTTTAGTGTTGTCAAGTATGATGACCTATGTGTGAATTCCTTGCTAACTTTTAAACAATAGTGAGAGAAGCTGACATTGTTTTTACATCTTTAATATTTCCTGAGAAGACTTTGAGACAAGGTAATGGAAAGTGTTTCCATGTCTTGCCAAGAAAACTGAATGGAAATGTCCATGTAAGTCGGTAGGTGTCCAGCACAGCTTGAAGGTGATTTAAAAGGATTGAGGGAAGTGCTTGCTATCTTAATTATGAACTATAGGTGGAGAAATTCTGCCATCTAGTGACCCAGATGTAGAATAGACATCCAGTGCGATTCTTGGCTCCTAATAGCTAACGTTTTGCCTGCAGTTCAGGTGAATAATTCTGTGGCTTTGTTGGTAGTGCAGAACAAGGATAGGTGGACTTCAGATCTGTCTGGGGCAATTTAATTTTTTAATTAAAGCCTGAAGACCCACCAACCAAACCTTGGTGTAAAAGATACGCATTTAGAATTAAGGAATAAGTTGCCCATAAGCACCTTCTGAGCCTAAGAGTATATTACCAGGATTGCATTAAACCTGCAGCATTTCATGTCCGCTAAACCCACCCCCTATTACTTCCAGGTTTCCTCATTCAGCAGACAAATTTTGGTGCGCAAAGTCATTGAGGGTTTTTGTTATTGTTGCTGCAGCTATTCTAACATCATCCAGAAATCTACCTTTCGGTTTTAGTCTACCTTCTCTCCACTTTTGCAATGGAGAGTTAAATTGGCTATATTTAAGCAGGTATGAAGATCTGTTTCTTCTGGTTTCATTCACAGCTGTCCTCTCACCCTTGATTTTCTAGCTCTTGGACAGAGGATACCCGGGCACAAATTTTCTCAGAGAATCTGAATGCCCAGGGTCTTCCAGAAGCCCCCTGGGAGAATCTGAAGACTAGTATGGAGGCTAAATTCAAGGAGTTTGGAGAGTTGGCAGCATCAGGGTGGGAGCTGATAGCTGAAGAGCATTATTTGAGTAAAACGGTAAGTGTGAAAAGCTAGAGATATAAATATCCCACAGGCTGTCAATGGGAATATCATTTAGGAATCCTAGGAATTACTAGGAATTCCTAGTAATTTAGGAATCGGCATTTAAGCCCAGAAGATGATCATGGTAGCTTTTCAAATATGCATGTCTTTATCAATTAGTGGCTCAGAGCAGCTAATAGCTTTCTGTAGATAATGGTTTTCATAGATGTCTCAGGGCTGCTCTTAATTACGGATATCTTTTGCACCATTAAACAGCCCCCTCCTGGGCATTTGCTTCATCCAGTAGCAAATGCTTTTCAGTTAGATAGCATGTATTCACAGGTACAGATGGGTTAAAGACCTGGGGAAAGAAGATAATATGTAATTATATATTATATCCAATTCACACCCTTGGAAGCATTTTTTTCACATAAAGAAATCCAGTGAACAAATATTTTATACATTTTTTTAAAAAAAACTCATAGTATTGTTTAGAGCACTTACCGTATTTGCTATCACTGATTTAGAGAAGTCCAGTAACATGATTTTATGAATGAGTTATCCATTTAGTTATTAGTAAAATGATCAGAAAATAATATTATGGTATCAATTATAAAAATTATATCAATTTCTGCTATTTTGAGCCAGAGGAGAAACTGTGGTTAAATGCAGTACACATGGGGTGGGATAGACATACCTATCATTTAAACCTAGACCTTAAGATGAGAGATAAAATTCAATTCTGTAAATATATGTTGCCCTCTACAGAAGTGAAAGCAGTAAACACAGTCCATGGTACAAGCAGACCAGTAATAGGTTTCAAATCCCATCGCTACTGTTTTGCTTGTGGACACGTGCGCGCGACACTTTTGCAGATGTGCAGAAGTGTCTGGGTGGGTGGGCGGAGCCTCCTGTCGCCGCTGCTACCAGTTCGCCCAATTCAGGGTGAACTGGTAGCAGCCCACCACTGAAGCAGACAAATGCAATCATTTGCATTTGTCTCAGTGTGATTTATAATCGTTATTGCACTGGATTAACATGCTAAATTTCAAATAGATTTTAATTGCTTTGAATTCTTAAGAAAGTTTGAGTTTTTCTATAGCTTATTTTGGAGAAGTAGAAGAAAGAAATGGTTTCAGAGCAATGATTTGGATTAAGGATATCAAAGATTTATTTATTTTTAATATTGAGAGCATATTTGGGAAGAGACAGAGTTAAGTGATGAGATCTTTGGCAATAACCAAGTTCAGAGACCGCCAAGGACCCCACAATTCAACCCTGAGCTACAAATATTCTCTTTTATTGGTAGAGTGAAACTAATTCAAGGGTTTGAAAGGAAAGCAAATGGACAGGTTTCAGAGTTGGTCACAAATCAGATTGCAAGGGAAAACAACAGCAGAAAATCAGAGGATTTGGGAACAGTTTGGGAATAGGCTCACATAGAAGAATCTAAAATGGGAAGAAGCAATTAAAGAATATCACACACAGAGTAGCTGCTGAGAACAAGGAGCAACATTACAGGAAACAATGAAAGGGGCTAATTTCAATTAGAAGGAAAAGTGAGATTAATGGTAAGGAATATCAGTTCTTGTCTGCTAAAACAAGTGCAAGAGGACTGCAAAACAAGTGCAAAAGGACTGCAAAAGGCGAAAATGTTCTCTTGAGAACATTTGAGGAGAGTCCAAAGAGTTGTGATAGTCTTGTTTTCTTTCTCTAATAATTTAATGCGTAAACTATACGAAACATCAGTTCCATGGTTCTGATAAAGCTTTCTGTGGTCTACAAAACTTTCGCAGTTATCCTTGAACTACGAATAGTTGTTCATCATTAAGGTGCCAGTGGTTTTTGTGACAAAATGATAGGTTCTCTCAGCAGGCCTTATTGAGGTAACTGGACAACTAAGTAGCATATAATAGTTAAACTCTTTGAATGAAAAAGGAGAGATACAAATCTATTAATCTACCTGGCAGCCTTAAGAATATGGAAACCAATATTTAAGAGGCTGGAAATAGTTTCAGAGATATTGTAATATGGCATTTCAGGTGGGCTTTTCCCCCTCCTCTTTCACACTTGTTCTTCCTTTAGATAAAGGAGCGAATGGAGGAGCTACAGAACATGCTGGGATGGGTGATGATACGATATCAAGCACAGTGTTCCCCAAAGGACCCTGGAAACAAGAATGATGAGCGAGAGTCTCAGGATAACACTGTAAACATGCCTCAGAACCTCCAAGTTAGTATGCCTCTAGTGTGCCTTTGTTACAAATAGGAACTATTATGCATGGCCTGGGTAAAAGAGGAAAGACGGTATTGCACAACCAAGGGGGAGGATTGAAGTTTCCTTATTATTTCACTTTATTATCTTTTTCTCTGATTTGTATCTCTGGGTGGTTATGCGTGTGAATTAGAGAAGTATTCATGTGTCATTTGCGTTTGTAAATTCTGCCGTCAATATTGAATCTGCAGTTAATGTATCTGATTGTTGGCCATGCCATCAGCTGACTGCTTATACATGAGGACAGAGAACAGCTCAGGATGAGGAAACAATTTTCATTTCTTGTCCTCAGCTTTTCAAATTGGCAAAAGCGAAGATGGATCCACCTTCAAACTTCTGAGAACACTGACAGTGAAAACAATGGCGGCACAAAAAAGTGCTCCTGATTTAACTGCAAAAACATTGTCTAGACCAGCAATTTACTGTTCGTTAAAATGCATGTTCTGATTCAATATTCCTTTTGATGGGCTCCGCCAATCAAGGCACCTATCTAGACAAAGGGGTGACATAACAGGAGAACAATTTGGATTTAGAATATTCCCCCACCTACAAAGGCTTACATTTGGATCAGTATAATGGGCTCATAGTGTGCAGTGAGTCAACCTATGCAGTATGCATCTGGAATTATGAAGAAAGTCAAGTGTAGCACCAGCAGGGCTCAGGATTCTTAAATAACCCAATTCTGTTGCTTTGGCAACAACTGCTCATTCTAGGACTTATAAAGTACCAGTCCACTCTATTTTGATAAAGATGAGGACATCTGCCCAAAGGATATACCTAGCTCTGTCAACGTTTTGTTACTAAAAATAGAATATGGATAGTCTACGTCTCATGGCTGTGCTTACACCCTTTTAAAAATTGCTGCTGTAGAAAAAGTGCAGAAGCTAATCACCAGGATCCTATGTTATTCTTCCCCTTGCAGCTTAATTTACTGTGGTCTCTTAAAGTCTTTAAAAAATGGGGAGGACTGTAGATCTCTTACCTTTTCTTCAGGGCCCCCAGCTTGCCTGCACTTGTTAAGACTTGGAAGGAGATAATGTTTCTTTTTTAAGGAAGAAAGCTACCTGGACCAGCCTTGGATAGCACATTGGAGGACTGAGACCTGGGGGTTAGACTGAGAAGTTGTCAAAACATCATTGAAGAAATATATTTATGACTATGTTACGATTTTTAAATAACCATCATCTTGACTCCCATACTCCCATTTCTTAGTCTGATTTCTTTCCAATAATAAGAATAACAACAACCAAGCCCTATATTTATTTGCTATTTTTCACCAATGTTGGCATTTCTCATTTAATATTTGCTATGCTTATTTTAAGTATATTTTTGCACATCCAGATTAAAACTGTCCGAGAATCAATACAGCAGTGGAACTTTTCTGTATGGTCTCCATTCCTATTATATTTAGCTAAAATACTTACCATCAGAATAGATTTTCAGTTGCTAGGTGGTTTTTTTTTCCTCCTGAAAAATTCTATCACAGGAGATTGAGGCAAACATTCTAGTTTCATATATAAACCATTTGTTCACTTGAGTGCAGTGCAGAGATGGGTTTCAGCAGGTTCTGACCGGTTCTGGAGAACCAGTAGCAGAAATTTTGAGTAGTTCGGAGAACAGGTAGTAAAAATTCTGACTGGCCCCACCCCCATCTATTCTCTGCCTCCTGAGTCCCAGCTGATCAGGAGGAAATGGGGATTTTGCAGTATCCCTTCCCCTGGAGTAGGGTGGGAATGGAGATTTTACAGTATCCTCACCAAGCCACACCCACCAAGCCATGCCACACCCACCAAGCCACACCCACAGAACCAGTAGTAAAAAATTTTGAAACCCACCACTGGTGCAGTGTCTCCAAATTTGCAGCAGACTTGCCCAGCCAGTCTTCTGCCTCCTTGTGTGAATCAACCACAATATAGAATGAGGAACCAATACTGACCTTTCCCCAGATGAGCTCTAATTTTCTGAATAGGTCTTGATCTTATGTCCAGTTAATAGTACAGAAGCCTGTACAGTCAAAAAGGAAGTAGATCCCTGTTCAGAAGAAATAACAATGCATACTTAGCTGAAGGAAGAAAATTAGCAAATTACCCACTGCAGCTTATTTATTGTGTTTTCTTACTCCCTAGTTTGAATTGGATTCTAGAGCTGATGTGACTGAAACAGATGGTATCCTGAACTCTAAGGTGTTAATGAAATGTTCAGCAGGAGATGACCATAAGCAGCAGAATGAATCAATCTCCACTGCATTTGCAGTCAATGTTCTTCCAGGGTACAAACAGAGCTTGGAAGAATCAGGAAATGGTTTACCCTTTGAGGTGGATGTCCCTAAGGGAACTCTAGTTCTAGAACCCTCAGAGACCCCAGTGTTACTTGTGCCACAAGCATCCCCTGGCAGTTTGGGTAGCACAGTGAGCTTGATCCTGAACATTGAAAAGGAAGGGGAGAAAAAAGCTGCAGGAAGCCAGATTGCCTCTTCACCAACTATAGGACAAGAGACTTCGCACAAGGTAAGGCATTAAGGCATTTCCTTGCCATAGATAGATAGATAGATAGATAGATAGATAGATAGATAGATAGATAGATAGATAGATAGATAGATAGATAGATATTAAGCATATATATATGCTTAATTTCCAAATTCAATAAATGAATAAACACTAGAGAAAGGTTTCTCAACTTTGGCAACTTTTAAGATGTGGGGACTTCAACTCCCAGAATTCCCTAATCAGCATGAATTTTGGGAACTGAAGTCCACACATCTTAAAAGTTCCTCAATTCGAGAGGGGTGTACTGTTCTGGAGCAATGGGAGGCAAGAATTTCTAATATGAGGAAATTCCAAACTAAGAATGTCAAGTAGAGGAGCACCTAACATCAGTGGAAAATTTGGAAGTTCATAACTAAGCAATAGTATATTAATATGCAGTATGGATCAAGGATGCTAGTTTTGTTTTCTGCTTCTTACATAAACAGCTGCCATACATCTAGCATAATCTTTTTATGTGGCACCAGCTGACTTTCTGCACCTTCGTTTCTCTGCTGGCTGTTGTAGCTTGTCCTTACTACTCCTTCACTTTCCATTTTTGTTTCTTTCCTAATATCCAGCTGTCTGAAATTAAACCCTCAGCCTGTAAAACGTTTTGGAAACGTTGCCAGGGACTTTTAGAAAATACTTTGGGTAGTTTAAAGAGAAAGAAAAGGCTGTACCATCAGCATGCAAAAGAGGTAAAATTGCTGTGATGTAGGAATGAGGGAGTGAGGACCAAGGATGCATGCTAGAGTTCATGGCTGCATGTTGCAAGGTCCTTAACTAACTAGCACATTGCTACTCCTCATAATTAACTCCTGCGTTGATTTACAGTTATCATATCCATGTTAGGAATCAGGCAGACACCTTTAGCAACGGTACAATGTATGAAGGTGTGAATACATTACAGCTGCATTAACGTTTCCATCTCATATCCTAATACGTCCTATGAAAACTGCTCCCAACTTTAAATAGCAATAGCACTTAAGACTTATATACTGCTTCACAGTGCTTTACAGCCCTCTTTAAGCAGTTTACAGAGTCAGCCTATTGCCCCCAACAATCTGGGTCCTCATTTTACCAACCTCGGAAGGATGAAAGGCTGAGTCAATCTTGAGCCGGTCAGGATCAAAGGAATCGAACTCCTGCCAGTGTGAGCAGAATTAGCCTGCAATACTGCATTCTAACCACTGGGCCCCCATGGCTCTTAAATATGTTGTATTTTATCCAAGCTCTCTCTAGATGCTGTATTTGTTCTCCTCCACATCTTGCATCTTCAATATTTGACCAAAGGACAGAATTGAAACCTGCACAGTTTCTGCCGTTAGTCTCTAGATATGTACAGATTAACAGAATCAGAAGGGACCTTATAGATCATCTAGTCCAACCCCCTCCTCAAGCAGGAGACTCCATACCATTTCTGTAGGCTCTCTGTTCTGTATAACTATTGAAGATGCTGGACTGGTGTCCAGACTTACAAATTCATGGAAGATATACTAGGAGGAGGACAGTATGTAATTTAGATCCCACTATGAAGGAGTAAATTGATTTGCAAAGGAAAAAGAAACAAGAAATGAGTCCTGTGGTATGCTGAATTTTGAGCTAAATTATGGACAGGAGAAAATATTTTAATTTTGGGAAATGGCCTCTTTCAACTGATCACTTTAACTTAACCCATTAGAGATGTTTTTAATACTATGTTGATAGTCTGAATGTTGAAATGAATTGAGAATGGGTAGTACATCATCTATACTGAAATGCTTTGAGATTCATTTAGTTTAGGTTCCTTTACATTTAAGTTCAGACTAACATTGCCTCCCTTCCTGAAAAGCCTGGAATAATCAAATGAAGTAAACTAGAATAGCTAGAGTTTCAGTTGGAAAGAATTTTAATAAACCCGGAGTGCATTGTCCATTTTGGGGGGGGTTGCATGAATGGGTCTTTCAAATGAAGATTGAATAAACATTTGGCAGAAGAAAGCATGTGTCAGTGCATGCTTTTAAATAAGATCTTATGAATGCAAAGTTTGCCACTGTGCTATCCTAAATATTTGGCTTAGACTCCAGCAGCTTCATGCAGTTCGGAGGATATTCTTCACTTTTCTTACCATGTTTTACAGGTGAGCACCTATCTACATGTAAAGGAGAAAGATGGATGTAGAAATCAGGACCCCGACTTTGGAAATTCATCCTTCATATCAGAATCTGTTAAGCAAGTGCCTCCCAAAGTTCCTTCTTTCCCATTTTCCAGGGTAGAATGGAGCAAAGCAGCCTCTCATACCTTCCCCAAGATTAGTTCCAGCTGCTCCCCAAAAAGCCCAAAGGGAAAAACCAAAGCAATGGCAGGAGATATTCAGCGGCTCACTGTGCAAAGGATTACGGGAACAAAAACGAATTATCTGCAAGAAAGGAAGCATAGTATGAATAACACTTGGCCGCCTAGATGCCCCCAGAGGGTGCAAATCCTGCAGGCATTGCCCTTACCACAAAGAGAGCTGATGGATTATGTGAAGAATCCACTAGAATGGGCTATTGATGCGGAATGTGATTTACCTAGGGAAACATCTGGAAAGTGCATATTCCTGAAACAAAACACAAGTCTCCATAGCCACCACTCATCCACAGAAAAGGTGAACACATGTCAGCATCTTTCCCTGGGATCTGTTTTGAGCCTAGAACTTCCCAAGGACCTCAGTGCCCTTAGAAATGTCCATGATATTGTCAAGGTAGCAAGGGAAGAGATAGCAGAAAGGAAGGGAGCAAAGCAGGTGAACCAAGTGGCCCAAAGGAGTACAGAAGGGACAAAGACACATGAAACCAGTATCAGCCTGGAAAAGGAAACCATAAGAGGACAGCGAGTGATGCATTCAAAGCCCATGAGAGCAGAAGATGTCTCTCATAAGCTCCCCAAGTCTAAGAAAGGCACTTGGTTTGAAGAAATGAACCTCAACCCAAGCTACAGCAGGCAGAAACCTTACTCTGTTGCTCCTAGTGAAGAGGTGAGGCTGCATCCTACAAGTCAAAACAATTCCAGTGGTGAATTTTTTGATTTCAAGCAGAAGAAGCCCTCTCATACCAGTGTATTGCATGAGCAGATAGGTTTGGAGTGGGATAAACTAGCTGCCTCACTGGGTAGCTCCAAAGAGAAGCAAGTCAAAGATGTAGATGACAAGAGAGCCAAAGTTCAAGAAGCTTTGAGGTTGAAACTGAAGCCTTTGTCTGCTGAATCTACAAGCAACCCTGATTTAGCTTCTCATCTAACCAGGATTAAAGATCCTTTAGTGAATGAGACATCAGAAAAAGAAAATACCCAATGCTCTGAAGAAAGCATTTCAAGACACCCACCTTCATTTCTGCACTTAGGACATAAATCCCCCACCAAACCTTCTAAGCTTGATTGTGAGTTGGGCTGTGAGGAAGATACTCTGAGTAACTCAGAACTCTGTCCTTTTAATTTGGCTCCATGGGCAGAGGTAACCAAAGGAACCAAGTTACAAGGCATGGCAGCAGAAGTTCGTCATCCTGCTCATGAGATGTTTGAAGAAGAGGAAGAAGAACTGCAGGCCATATGGAATAATATGGAGAAGCATAAAAAAGGGTCAGATATCCCCGATGACCCAGGAAGAAAGATGGACAAAGAACAAAATCTGGGCAGTTCAGGTGGAAAACTTCTCCTGACATCTGCAGATAATTGGTTGATAGCCAAATTCAAGCTTCCCACTTCTGCTGAAATGTTACAGAATTCAGAAGGAGGAAGAAGGGCCAGTCTTGGGGTTGACAAGAGGAAAAATAGACCCAATCAGTGCAGCAAAGCAGAGATATCTTCTTGCCAGGAGCTAAATAAAGAGACAGCAGCTTCACCGGGAGAATTGTCACTGCAAAAAATATATCCAGCGGATCAACAGAAATTCCAAGAAGAAAGCAAAAGTGTTAGCAAGGTTAGAACGATTGGTTTTCAAGGGGAGGGATAGGAAAAATTATATTAGAAACTTCGTTTTATCTAACATTTCAATTTTTGAGGTTCTTTTTCAAATGTCCCCAAGAGAATCAATAGATTTATCTTCCCACTAATGCAAAACTCACACTTTTTCATGTAGATTGCTATCGATACTGAGCCCTACAGGTGTGTGTGTGAGTGTGATACTCATCAACATCAGTCAATTTGGCCAATTCCATGTGCTGGAAGAGAATAGCGATGATAGACAAGCACATCTGGGATTTGTATAGTTAAAAGTCTGCAGAAATTCTCAGCCATCCAGGACATGGTTGTCCCAAAGGTGCTTTTTCAGGAGGCAACTGGACTTCCTTGTTTTTCTTTGAAGACATTTCCCTTCTCATCCAAGAAGCTTCTTCAGTTCTGATAGGATAGTGGGGAATGGAAGGATTTATATTCCTTGCAGACAGCTTGTCATTTGCATCCTTTTAGAGGATTGTTGAAGGACTTGGATATTTATCTGTGTCCTCAGGGTCACCTGAGTAGTGCTAATGATGCTATATAACCATTGGTAGAGCTAATGGTTGCCACTACTAATGGTTATAATACGAGGACATAGATAAACCTCCAAGTGCTTCAACAAGCTTCTTGGATGAGAAGGGAAATGTCTTCAAAGAAAACAAGGAAATCCAGTTGCCTCCTGAAAAAGCACTTTTGGGACCTGGAATTTGCTTACTTGAAAAAACTAAGCTAAAGTTAATGTTGTTGCATGTTTCGCAACAAAACATTCTCCCATCCTTTTGCTACCTTTGTGGAAAGTGATACAAAAGTGCCATGCGTTCCTTTGCAAGAGATTGGCTTTTTTTTAATATTTTCAGGAGACTTTATATTATCCTGTGTCTTTTTCTAGACTCTTCCAAGTAAATTGGAACTTCAGATGATGGAAGGACCTCTGGAAAGAAAGAACCTGTTGCAGGCAGGGGGTAGAAAGGTATTTATATAGAAAAAGGGAAAATACGTTAATTTCTTTTTACTTCTGGCTAATGCTTGTCTACAGATCAGAGGTGGGTTTCAACAGGTTCTGCCCAGTTCTGGAGAACCGGTAGCGGAAATTCTGAGTAGTTCGGAGAACCGATAAATGCCACCTCTGACTGGCCCCACCTCCATCTATTCTCTGCCTACTGAGTCCCAGCTGATTGGGAGGAAATGAGGATTTTGCAGTATCCTTCCCCTGGAGTGGGTGGGAATGGAGATTTTGCAGTATCCTTCCCCTGCCACGCCCACCAAGCCATGCCACACCCACCAAGCCACACTCACAGAACTGGTAGTAAAAATTTTTGAAACCCACCACTGCTACAAATCCAAACAACTACTGGTCAACAATAAATTACCACACTGAAACAATCGCATCTAGTGCTGTGGTGATATGTTGTCAGTAATTAACATTGATACAGTTCCAATTTTTTTTCAGTGAGATGATTCAAACATAAGCTTCAAGGTGTTGGTGACCACCTTTAAAGCGCTCCATGGCTTAGGGCCAGGGTATCTACGAGACCGCCTTCTGCCGCCAATAGCCTCCCACCGGCCAGTTCGCTCGCACAGAGAGGGCCTCCTCAGGGTGCCGTCGGCCAGACAATGTCGGCTGGCGACCCCCAGGGGGAGAGCCTTCTCTGTGGCGGCACCTGCCCTCTGGAACAACCTACCCCCAGAGATACCAGACCTCCGGACTTTTCGTCGGGCCCTGAAAACACATCTATTTCATCTAGCCGGGCTGGCTTGACCCCATCCTTGCGGTTTTAAATTTATAATTGGTTTTAACTGGGTTATTTTAAATTGATAGCCAAAATTATTTAATGTTTTTTAAATTGCTTTTAAATTTTATATGTTGTGTTTTTACCATGGCTGTTCACCGCCCTGAGTTCTGTTGGAGCTTATTTAAATAAATAAATAAGCTAAAGTAATAAATGATCTGAGTTTTTCAGGACTGGCATAATCCACAGTTTGTCCGCTAAAATAAAGTTAAAAACTAGTTTGATTCAAGCCAGTCATGGAGGGAGGAAATTATTACCAGTGAGTCACCCATACTTTTTTGCTTGGTGCCAATTATGTAGCTTTTGGTGCCCTGAAGGAGCTTTTGGACATTAGTTCTTTTTCTTGGTCCATATTTTAAGAAAGAGTTTATAGGTAGTCCTCAATTTATGACCACAATTTCCATTGCTAAGCTCCTGATTTTATATTTTTTTTGCCATGGTTATTAAGCAAATCACTGTAATTGTTCAGTGAATCACATGGTCATTGAGTGAATCAAGCTTCCCCCATTGACTTTGCATGTTGGAGGCCAGCTGAGAAAGTCACACAGGATGATCACGTCACCGTGGGATGCTGCAACCATCATAAATATATGATGGTAGCCAAGCACCCAAATTATGGTTACATGTCTGTGGGAATGCTGTGAAGGTTATAAGTGCCAGGACAGGCCATAATTCATTTTTTTCAGTGCCTTGTAACTGGTCAATCTTTATTTGTTTTAGATCTGACCTTGGATTTTTGTTCTTTCAGGCAAACAGTCGCTCCTGGAACACATTTCATACAGTTCTGATGAGGCAAACTTTGTGTTTTTACCAGGACAAGAAAGATACCCTCAAGGTAATGGCGGTGAAAGAGAGAGAAAAACAACAACACAAAATGGAATGCTTGATTGATTATATGCCATCAAGTCTTTTTCTACTCCTAGCAATCACATTGATAGATTTTCTCCATGAGAAATGGAATAGGTGTAATATAAAAAAAGTCTCTGCCAAATATTTAACAGTGCCGTTGTTCTTTTTAAAAAAAATTCTGCTTGAATTTGTTTCACCACCATTTTTATATCTTATATAATCCTTCACCCAATGACTTCTGCATGAACAAGGTCATTAAATATATTTACTTGAAAACACTTTATACTGTTTTTGTTGACTTAGTTTTAGAAATAAACGGCATGTTTGCCAAAATAAAACTTAAAACGATGGGTATTCTATTTATATATATTTTTAAATGTTTTAATATTTGTATCCTATGTTTTTTATCTTGGCTGTACACCGCCCTGAGTCCTCAGGGAGAAGGGCGGTATATAAATTGGAAATTAAATTAAATTAATTAAATTAAATTCTAGTACAGTCATAAAGGGTAACAGACTATAAACTACCCATGAAAACAGATCTTAATTGGTAATTATAAATTACACTGATTAAAACTCACAAAACCTTCATAGAAGCACCTGCATAGGCTCTCTAAGAATAATGACATTGATCCATCAAGCAAGAAGAGTGAACATGATCACAAAGAGATCCTTGCATTTTACATTATGTCTATCAGAGGTCTCCAATATTGGCCACTTTAAGACTTGTGGACTTCAATTCCCAGAATTCTCCAGCCAGCATGGCTGACTGAAGAATTCTGGAAGTTGAAGTCCACAAGTCTTAAAGTGGCCAAGGTTGGAGACCCCTGGCCTAAATCAACAGAAATGCAGAAAGAGAATCCTGGATCATTCCTTTCTTCAGTTTGCCATTTAAGATAGTCCCTTTCTCAAAAGCTTTTTCTTGGTTGAATATGTACTACTTTACTTCTTTGATAGCTGTAGCTAAACCTTCAGAACGCTTACCCTACTCCAGGAAGAAGAAATATTTGTTTATCTGAAAGCACTGTTCCATAGCGGCTTAGTTAGAACAAATATTTTCAAGTGTGGGGACTTTATGTTTGCCTTCTTTGCATAGCAGAGTTCTGTGATGGCCATACCACTGAATCTGTCTGGAGCTGTTTGCACCCTGGAAACAGAATACACCAAAAAGAGCAATTGTTTCACATTACAGTGAGTAGCATCAATTTTTCCGCTTCTGTATGAGGTACCTGGATGCATTTGTCACTTTCAGGTAAAGGTGCTGTTAGAATTTGGAAATTTTCATTCTCTGATTGGGCATTTGGAACAGGTGCTGTTCTTTATAAAATTTTTGTAGATACTCCAATATGCCAACAGTGGAACACATTCCTTGTGTTCAGTTGCTGAGGAAGGACACAGGCAGTTTGTCATATCTCCACTCCCCATCAGATATCTAGAATAACTCATAGTGCCAATGAATTTCCTGAAGGGAACAGAATCAACTTCTTTTCAGAATTCCAGCACTAATTGGTTCCTCTTCACATACAACTTTCAGTCATTCCCATCTCTTAACTGGTAGTAATGTTTAAGGTAGATAAATTATTTCTGCCTGTTATTTATGTCTTAATTCCCACTGAAATACATCACTGGAATGTGGCCAGCTATCATCTAATAGTTCTATTGACAGATGTCTTCGGATTAGGAAGTCCTGGAAAGTATTTTATGGAGAACAGGAAAGTACTCTCTGGAGTTGTCTAGGCCGGTTTCAAAAATTATACAGTATTCTTTATGACACTATGTAGAGGGCGGAGGGAGTGGCCTTGACAGACAGGAGGAATGGCCACTACCAAGACAACGGTCAGATAAAAGAGGATTGAGTCCGGGGCAGGAAAGTATCCTAAGTAAGCAGCTCAGACAAAACCCTTGCTAGATTTCATGAATGGACAGAAGAGAAAGCATTTTCAGAACTGTAAGATTTTGTTACTACAGCTTTACAATAAGTAATACTGACTTACTTAACAATGAATTATTAATCTGGGCTATTTGAAGTCTGATTCCCATAATACTTTTTCTCTCACATATGTCTAGGTTGAATGATGGCTCGAAGTATCTTCTCAGAGCTCCAACTGAACCACTTATGAAAGAATGGGTTACCAAATTACAGCAAAACTCAGGTAAGACTGAAATATAGCACACAGTGTAATGGTTGATTGATATGATACAAGTGATACAAGTAAAGAGGAGTGATAGTGCTTTAAAATTCATGTTATCCTTCTTCTCTGTTCATCAAAGAGCCTATAGCACTCTGTTCTTTCTTGCTTTTCTTTTTTTTCTCTGAAGTGTATGAAGTAGACTTTTGTCATAGGTTTGCTTGGCTATGAGAGCGATTCTTGAAAAACTTGAATGGTTTTTATTTTAAAATGTGATGTCTGAAATGACTGCTTTGATATTTTCCAAGGTTTACCTGAAGTGGATTTCTTCCCATCATCTTCCCAGCCTGCTCAAGGAATGACCTCTGCAGCTAGGTAAGAAGTTCAAGGAACTTGGCTACAATACAGATTTGCAGAGAGCACAGAAAGGTTTTGAGAATTCACAAACTGATATTCCTATAAATATTTTTGTGCTTTTTAAAAATATCAAGATACTGAGAATATCCAGACTCTGGGATTTCTAAATGTAAAGTTATGGCCATGTTAGCTGGACTGATGCAGATTGCAGTCTATCACATCTGGAGAGACTAGATTGACAGCAGTTTAATATTTGGAAATGCATCTTGTTCAAGTTGAGTTAAGATTATTACTGTAGTTTCCTTGCTTTTTCTCCCTGTGTGATTCTCTAGCCTCTATATTATTAGAGGCATCCCTGATGCCCACTTCTTATTAATATGCAGTGTGCTGGTTTATTTTCAGCCACATAGAAACTGTCAGTGAAATAAAATTAATTGAGATATCCTAAAATGATACCTATGAATAAATAAGCTCTGTTTGCTTTATGGAAAAGACAATCTACAACACTGCCTGAAATATGCAGCAGAGCACTGTGCAAATTTCCTATTTCCACCCCTCTCCTTTTTTTAGTGCAATTCCTGGCCAAGGAGTTCCCCACTTCCAGAGCTTTCAGAAAAAGCTTCCAACCAAGAGTCAAGAAATCAGATTTCTGCCCAAGTCAAGTGTAAAGCTGCAGTTGCCTTATAGTACTCGTAGTGAACCACTGGATACAACAGGTAAGCGTATGGAGCTGACTGCAGATTTTCAAGAGCATTTTCCTGACTTGACCTCAGTAGTTTATTATTGTAGTATCAGCAGATAGAGAACCTAGGCTTCTCTAGACTCAGAACTAAAAAAGGTTGGGTCTAGTAAATAATTGGATGGGAGAATACAAGTGCAGGCCTGATTGGGAATCCCCCAAAATATGACTAAAGGAAATAGTGCTGAACTATTTCTGTATTGCTGCCAGAAATCTATACAGTCACCGAAAGTCAATCTTGATCTGAAAGATGCTACCTTTGCCTTTAGTACAGTAATACTGCTATACTACCCAGTAATATAAATAATATGTAGTAAAATGTTCCTGTCATCTAAATTAAGAGAGAGCATAAGAGAGCATCCTTCAAAAATTACTGCTTGTAGAGGACAGGTAAGAACAAATGACATAGAATCCATTCAAGCGTCATCTTAATTTATTTTGGACTTTTGAAGTCTTGGAGAAACTGGCCAAGGCAGTGGAAATGGCTATTTCTAGACAACCCTTTGCTGGACTGAACTAAATTGTTAAAAGGAATCTATTGAGACAAAAGTTTTTCCTCCAATTCTCTATGGGATATGAACAAACTTCTAAATGTGATTGCTGACAGTTGGAGAAACAGAGCTTCTATCTACAATAGCAATAGCACTTAGACTTATACTGATTCACAGTGCTTTGCAGCCCTCTGTAAGCAGTTTACAGAATCAGCATATTGCCCCCAACAATCTGGATCCTCATTTTACCGACCTCAGAAAGACAGAAGGCTGAGTCAACCTTGAGCTGGTGAGAATTGAACTGCCAATCTGTTGGCAGTAGGCAGTCAGCAGAATTAGCCTGCAGTACTGCATTCTAACCACTGTGCCACCACGGCTCTTCTGCAAATGAACCAGTGTATTATACTATGTACCACACATGTACACACTGTCTGAACAATACAAAACCATGGTTCTTTTCCTTCTGTTTTTGAAATTAGTTCTACCATCCCTCCCTGATCCTAGATTGTGTATTCTGTTGGTTTACTTAACATTTTAAGTCAGCCTTTTGGGAACCAGGGACCAGTTTCGTGGAGAGAGGTTTTTCCATGGACCAGAGGGTGGTGGTGGTTTTGTGTGCTGCCTGCATCCAGTGGATGGAGCTTTGCTTGTTTGTGCAGCCTGGTTTCTGGCATGCCACGGACTGGTGCCAGTCCACAAATTGGGGGTTGAGGACCTCTGTACTAAGTCATAATGTGGATCATTTTGATTTGGTTTTATATGTTGTGCGAAGCTTGCTAATCATATTTAACCAAACCATGGCTTATCACAGTGTTTCCCTCTTATACACACGCAACCCCCCCTCCCCATATGCATGTTCTAAGCTTATTTTGTGGTCTCCATCACAGCAAAGTTGAGTCGCCATGGGCGAATAGGCGGCAATATTAAATAAATAAATAAATAAATAAATAAATAAATAAATAAATAAATAAATGTTACATAATCTTTGTTAAAGCTAATATGCTGACATTGGTCCCATAAGCAAGTCATCTGATCCGACCATGGCAGGGCTTTAAAGCAGGGGTGAAATTCAAATTTTTTTACTACAGGTTCTATGAGCGTGGTGTGGCTTGGTGGGCATGGCAGGGGAAGGATACTGCAAAATCTCCATTCCCACCCCACTCTGGGGCCAGCCAGAGGTGGCATTTGCTGGTTCTCCAGACTATTCAGAATTTCCGCTACCGGTTCTCCAGAACCTGTTAGAACCTGCTGGATTTCACCCCTGCTTTAAAGGCTACAACTAGCACTCTGAGATACACGATTGAAATGTTTAGCCTTAACGCAGCGTGTCTCTCCTTCTAGGAAATGGCCTCAGAGCTGCACCTATTTATACCACAGAACAGAATCTAAAGCAGTGTTCCCCTTTGGAGTCAGCAAGGTCACAAGAGCCTCAGTTCTATCAGGAAGATGACTGTGGACTGGTGACAAGCAAAAGGCGATCATATTCATTCACTTCAGGTATGACATACAAAGGGAAAAAAACAATTATTAGGGGTAATTATTGATTTGGTCTTGTACAGCACCCAGAATTTTCTAGAATTTTTGTAGGTATTGTCAAGGAAATAAATGTTATTAAGATTATTAATTTTTCCCCTGGCTTTCTAACAGTTTGTACAGCTAATAAGCTATTAAATCCATGTCCTTGCGTTCAAATACAGCTCAGAGCTTGGCCTTTAAAATATGTCTACAGTGACTAACATGACATCATATGCTATTTTCAGACTATATCATTTCAGTTAGAAGTCAAGGTTGTTTTCAAGTAACAAGTTTATTGCTTAAAATCTCCACTAGGTGCCAGGAGCACACTTCGGGAGTCAGATCCATTTGTTTGATTTTTGAAATGCACTTCTCACTTTAATGTGCTTTAAACAGGGTGGAGCAGACTTTAATTATACAGGTGGAATACTAGATTTACACATACCATCTACGGGGGCCTAGCATGGAAAACATATCGTTAAAATTAAATGATTCTGCTCCAACAATTGGTTGTAACGGAGAAACAAAAGTAAATGGTATTTTCTTTTTTTAAGTCAGAAAAAGAAACACATTAAAAATATTGTTGATAAAATTGCAGATCTCTAGAGGTTGACCAGTAAATCCAGATCTATCTTAACTTTGTTAAAATGCATATAAATGTCATTTCAGAATGACAATTTGCTCAATCACTCAATTTTTAAGATATGTATTTGTCTCTGATAAGAGGAATTGTAACTATTCCTGAATGGCAAATGCATGCTTATACCTTGATGTCTTCCAGAGGCAACTGTCAGAGGCAATTTTGAAAAAGTTATTTTTGAAAACTGATCAATGGTAATGGAAGAGCAAAATGCTCATCAACAAGTAATTGTCCTAAGTGTGAAGGAGGTGTCAGCAGGCCCAGATGAGAGACCAAATGCACTCTGGAATTCCCCAGAGGCCAGATAGTCAGTAGAAAAGGCTGTGGTTTTCTCCTTATGATCCCAGCCAGCTGCTTCTCCCTCTTTAAGCTTCCTCACTCCATCCTTAACAGAACCTTGCTGTATTGAGGAAGAGTTGCTGGCTCTCTTCACTCTGCTCTTTGGGCATTTGCTCTGAGCCAACATTTTACTACATTGCCACCTCCCTCAATGTCATCCTACTGGGGCAGCCAAGACAATTTTTTTCCAACTTGGCTTCAGAGCAGCTGGAATCTACACAACTTTCATTTTGTCGTCACAGAACTCCACAAGGTTTGAGGACAGGCTATTGGGGACACTGCTCATTCACTCAATGAAATCTTGGCTGGTTTACTTCCTGCCACCTGGACAAGCATTATCTAGTAGATTTCACAGGCAACCTTATCAGCCAAGCCAATCTTTCTAATCAGTTTCACTACCTCTGAAAATAAAACTACCCAGCTTGATTTTCTCTGATTATATCGGTGGCTCACACCCAAGCCTTGCTTCACCCTGCCTCCCAGCCTATGTGATCAAGCAAGCCACTACATGTTCCCCACACACATATACCAGCCCTGCACTTGACTTTAATGGGTGGAGCAGTGAAAGGTGATTTTTTGCACTCTCTTCTCAATCAGTTTGGAGGGAGCACTGATTGGTCCAACCTCTACTTCATCTACCAAGTTAGTCAAGGAGGGATCACATGTCCAAAATGCTTTAGAAAGGGAGTTGAAACAGTGCCACATGCAAGTGTCCTGTGCTTTGTTCCTGCTACTACCGTACAGGAGCAAGTACAGTAGTTATGATTTTCATAATCCGTGGCCTGGAGATGAGGCACAGGGACTAAAATTGGAGTTACCAGGGGATTCCATTGATACTATAAAAAATAATAAAGACACACACCCGTCTCTCTCTTTCAGCTACATATCAGAAGATCACACCTTTATCGAAGTCTAAAGAACCCAACAACTACTCTGTTACTGTGTACATTGGTGAGCAGGCTCCAACCACACCTCCCCGGCCCCGCTGCCACTCCTTCATAGCCACTCCGGTTGGAGCCCGAGAAATGGTAGGTGAGCAAAACCAAGGTGCTTCACCTAGCCAGAAGAACAAATCCGTCTTCAGGAAATTCTTTGGGAAGAAAGACTGAATGCTGGCAGTAAACTGTCCTTTGCTGGATATGGTTGAGGATCCTGACTGGTCCAAGAGGTTCTGCATCAGCCCTTGTCATTAGCTCTCTCCCAAGAGGGCAGAAATTGAAGAAGAGGGGATAGGCTTTGCTCAGTGAAATACTCAGCTCTCTATTCACCTCAAAAGAAATCAGCTGATGGAGTGAAGGGACAGGCAGAGAAACAACAAGTACCTTCATTCATTTTGCGGCAGAATGCTATGTAATTTCAATTATTACGAGGTCTTTCTCTGCAGTGGCAGTATACCGCCTTTCTTTGACACAGATACAATCAGGTAGTACATTCCGAGACACACATGTTATTAATACTATATTTGTATTCAGCCTGGGGATGGAGGAAAAAATCATGTTCCTTCAAGTCCTTGTGCATAAATCTGTGCATAATTCATGATGGGATCAAAAAGCAAAGCAGTTCTTAGATCCAATTATCCAAGCCATGGAATTTATCCAGGCTGAAGGCTGCCCAGCTTTTTCACCTGACTGCTACGTTTGTGCCTTTAACCAGTCTGTAGACATTAGCCAGTAATCATTATGTGCTTCATGCAGAGAGAAGATTCATCTTTTCTGTTTTTATTGTTCTTCTTTATAAATTAAGCTGTTGTAAACACAGACACTCCAAAATAGTTCACAGCAGGATTTTTTCTGGTCAGTTGGCAACATAGAATGAGGCCCAAACAATACAATGGAAGCCTGATCTTTTATAGAAAAAAACAAACAAACAAAGCACTTACAACACCAATTTAGAATCAGCATATATGTGAACTACAGTTATTTTGAGGCTGGTGAAAACCCCTGCAAGATATTGAAGACAGCCATTTGCCTTTTATTGTTCAGTGTGGGGTATGATACCAAGAAGTTCCTTAGTTTTCTTTCCTTCAGCAACATTTAAGGCTGGTTTAATAGCCAATTGCATCTCCTGGACAAATATTAACACCATATTAAAACACCAGTTAGTCTGTGTGCTTTCATTCAAAATGCATTAGAGTTAACTGAGTTATGCTTTAACAGCCAGGCTGCTACTGCACTTAAGATACCCAAACGCATGCTGCACTCCATTTAAAAGAATGAAAACGTCGGTATTGGCCTTCCAGATAAAACAGGAGAGTTATGGATAGATTCCCAGATGCACTTTGTAGTCCATCTGGAGAGCAAAATGGCACTCTGTGCAATAACTTGAAATACAGCCCTTGCTAAAATTCAAGAGCAGGTTAAAAAGCTCAGCATCTACTGGTTTCAAAATGTAAGTTTGCTCAGATAATTGCAGAGATTTTCATTTGAAAATGGGAGCTCAGTGAGGACTTAATCTTTTTTTCACACCTACTGATTCTTCTAAGGAAATGCCTTCCAGTGAGGTTTTTTTTTTTCAGGTGGAGAAGCCTGGCTGGAAACAATCTTTAAAATAACAGCAAATGAAACATATGTCATATCATCCTCTCGCTGTAGGGAGGAGGAAAATAATGAGCAAGAAGGTGTCATATTTGTGGGGCTGCTCTAGCATGTCTGGGTCTTAAATGCAGAAAGGTTTAGTTAGCCCTCTCATAACCTTCATATCCATATTTGGATGACAGAATTAAGTTAACTGAGCCCCAAAGTGCCTCAGCTATTTCAGGCTAAACTAATCCCTCTGGGTTAATTTCTGGAATTAGTTGGCTTGGTTAAGTGTGCACAACAGACTGTTAAAGCATGTCCTGCAAATTGGACCAATGGGTCTGCAAATCCAGATAACCAGGTTTCTACAGGAAATCATAGGTATGATTTCCCCCATACACACATTTGAAAGGTTTATGAGGTAAAAGGTGACTGCAAACCTGAAACTGCTGGTTTCACATTCTGGTTCCAGATAATTGGAAATTCGAGCCACTCTGATGTTGCATGGTGTTGCTAAACCTTAAGTAAACATGGGACATATGCAGGACAGGAATAAAATGACAGGAAGCCCAACTTCATTGGGAATACAGGCTGGCTCAACTTGAATTATGTTTATGTTTAACATGTAGCTCTGCCACTTCTTGTCTCTCAAGAAAAGGAAAACAGAATTGTTGCTGCATTTTGTAATCTATTTCTGTGGGTGGGGGAAAAAATGCTGTTTCAAGGAGAAAATCTGCTTATTACATCCCATGAGCCAAACATGTGCATCTGCCTCCCCAAGACTGCACTTAAAAAAATAGAGACTTGATAGATTGGGATAAATTGGGAATGATAGATTCCATTTCTTTAATGCTCACTTTTCTTTTGCACACTATTTTTTATTTGTATCCTCTGTTTTTGGCACAATCAAATGCATTTTGTTTTCAAATGAAAACAGTGAGTACCAAACACCAAGAAAAATGGCCACAATAACCATACAGCAGGGGTGGGCAAATGTGGCCCTTTTACAACCTGTGGACTTCAACTCCCAGAATTCCTGAGACAGGCTGTCTCAGGAATTCTGGGAGTTGAATTCCACAGGTTGTAAAAGGGCCACATTTGCCCACCCCTGCCATACAGTTATCCATACAGGTAGTCCTTGACTTACAACAGTCACTTAGTGACTGTTCAAAGTTACAACGGCACTGAAAAAAGTGACTTATGGCCATTTTTCACACTTAAGACCATTGCACCCTTGGCAACTGGTTCATATTTATGACGGTTGCATTGTCCCTGGGGTCATGTGATCACCATTTGCAACCTTCTGACAAACTCAATGAGGAAGCCGGATTCACTTCACAGCCATGTTTCCTATCTTGACAACTACCAAATGTGGTGATAAAGGTGGTAAAATGGGGCACTGGTGAAATGTAAAATTTGTTACTACCAGTTCTATAGGCATGGCTTGGTGGGGGTGGGTGGGTTTAATGTGACTGGGTGGGCGTGGCCAACTTATTTTTTTTACTTTTTTAAAGCATTTTTTTTACAACCTATTTGGCCAAATAGATTGTAAAAAATGCTTTTAAAAGTAAAAAAAAAAGGCTTTGACGATCACAGCTGTGCGCACGATCGTCAGAGCCTTTTTTTCCCTTTTAAAAGCAGGAAGTAACGATATCCGGGCGGGTGGGCGGAGCCTCGCTCCACCATCACTACCGGTTTTCTGAATCACCTGCCACAATTGCTACCAGATCACTTGATCTGGTCCGAACCAGGAGCATTTCACCCCTGAAATGGGGCAAACTTTGCTTAACAAAGTCTCACTTAGCAACAGAAAATTTGAGCTTCATTGTGGTCGTAAGTCGAGGACTACCTGTATTTCAATTGTGAGACTCTGGTTCAATCAAAAAGCTAAAACGGCCCAGTCCCACAACTTGTTTTATAACAGAAATTAATAAACAAGAAATTGCAATCCCAAATAGATCTCCGTTTCACAAGGACAGTTAATTGTGCTTGGTTATCCACAACCTGCTCAGTTGTTAAGCCACACTTTTCACTTTTCACCTGTGGATTTTATTTCACCACTAACCAAAATAAACACTATCATAATCACTTCTGGACAAGGTATAGTCTAACTTTTGTGCTCATGCATTCATTGCACTTTTGCCTTTTTAGTGAAAAGTTTTAAAAAGAGTAAACATCCCTATTGTTGGAATAAAGAACAGTAATAAAGATCATCTTGAATCAGGGGTGAAATCTACTTACCTTCCCTACCGGTTCGGAAGTGTGCGCGTGCCATCGTCACATCCTATTTTTTAACCTCTGCGCATGCGCAGAAGGCTAAAATCAGGAAGTAACGACGTCTGGGCTGCCGCCGCTACCAGTTCACCAAACCTCATGCTACCGGCGCTACCGGCTCGGGTGAGCTGGACAGAACCGGCAGGATTTTACCACTGTCTTGAATCCTAAGAATTCTGAGGCCTCCTTCTTTCACTTCACACAGAACAACTATCCCAGAATTACAATAGAACTGAGGTAACTCAGCTCAGAATTTGCCACAGCTACATTTATTTATTTATTTATTTGTTTGTTTGTTTGTTTGTTTGTTTGTTTGTTTGTTTAAATTTCTATACCACCCTTCTCCAAATAGGACTCAGGGCGGTGCACAGCCTAAGTAAAAACAAAGCATACAAAATTTAAAAAACAGTATTAAAATAATTAAATATTCTGGCCGTAAATTAGAACAACCCAATTTAAAATCAATTTAAAATTTAGCTCAAGCCAGCCCAGCTAGTTGAAATAAATAAGTTTTCAGGGCCCGACGAAAAATCCGGAGGTCTGTTATTATACGTAACTCTGGGGGAAGGTTATTCCAGAGGGTGGGCGCCGTCACAGAGAAGGCTCTCCCCCTGGGGGTCGCCAGCCGACATTGTCTGGCAGACGGCACCCTGAGGAGACCCACTCTGTGCGAGCGTACTGGCCGGTGGGAGGCTATTGGTGGCAATAGGCGGTCTCGTAAGTACCCCGGCCCTAAGCCATGGAGCGCTTTAAAGGTGGTCACCAACACCTTGAAGCGAACCCGGAAGACCACCGGGAGCCAGTGCAGCTCGCGCAGGAGAGGTGTCACATGGGAGCGCCTCGTCGCCCCCATAATCCCCCGCGCGGCCGCATTCTGGACCAGCTGGAGCCTCCGGGTGCACCCCAGGGGGAGCCCCATGTAGAGAGCATTGCAGTAGTGCAGTAGTGCAGTAGTGCACATACACATATATACACCAGTGGTGGGTTTCAAAATTTTTTACTACCGGTTCTGTGGGCATGGCTTGATGGGCATGGCTTGGTGGGCTTGGCAGGGGAAGGATACTGTAAAATCTCCATTCCCTCCCCAGTCCAGGGGAAGGTTACTGCAAAAACCACATTTCCTGGGACCTGGGAGGCAGAGAATAGATGGGGGCGGGGCCAGTCAGAATTTTTACTACTGGTTCTCCAAACTACTCAAAACTTCCACTACTGGTTCTCCAGAACTGGTCAGAACCTGCTGAAACCCACCTCTGACACACACACACACACACACACACATAGTACATACCCAACTGGGTCACACCATGTACTAAATGGTTAGGTTATGACTCTGTTGGGTGAACTCAACAGTTGTGATTTGTTTACTAAAACCATGGCTAAACCAACTGATGAATTAATGCTGCCAATGAGTCCATTTGTTTTAGAACAGTGAAACAAGCATGAGATTGATGAATTAAGGCCGATAGAACAATGTGTGAAGATTAAATATGAAAGGCTCAGATCAACAAGCCTTGAGCAACCATGCTGGCCTCATTTACTTATGCTGGCAGTGACATCTTGTTCAGCTGCTCTCCCAAGATCAAAAGGCTGTGAAATGGTGTCAGGGGCATACTGCATTGATACTAAAATTGGCCCTGGAAATAGGATTCCTGGAAAACTGGATGAAGCTCAGTCTGGAAGGCTGGCATATGAGCAGGTAAGGGATTTTAATTTGGCCTTTTTGCCAAAAGGTTATTTGAATTCTTCTTAGTATTAAATAAAGTTTTTAAAAAACTGCTCAGTCAGTAAATTCCTGTCTACAAGCTGCTCTTTTGCCTGTAAAGAGGCAATACAAAAGTGTTACAGTTTCTTGTATGTACAAAACCATGATAACAGTGTTAGGATGGCTGGGAAAAAAATCATTCTGGTCAGTAGTCTGAATTTTTGCTATATATAGCTCATTGCCATCTGCTTCTATATGCAAATGATGCTATAAATTTTAGCACTTCCACATATATAACCGTAAGCAGTCTGTACCTTATTCAAATTAGTACAAATGTTGTGCAGCAACCCAGAACACCAAAAAAGGAAACAGGTTTCCATGGGGACCCATGTAATGTTATCAAAAAATACCTGACTACTCAACCCATTACAATGCAACTAACACAAGATATGAAAAGGATAGCGCTGCCATACATAAAAAACATCTCAGAAACAAACAACAAACGATTACAACCCCAACTCATTACCATGGCACACAAGGTTAAAGCCCTCCAAAACCTTAAATCTTAAGGTTTAAATAATCCAAACATCCAATAGTCCAAGAAGAAAAAAGAGTCACCTGCAGCGTGAGGACTGTAACAGTCACTGTGTGGGAAAGACAGGCAAAAAACTAGCATATCCATGAATATCAACTAGACGTCAGAAGACACCATGGACATGCCTTAATCTCAGAACACATGGACCACAACCATAGATTCAACTGAGACATTGTGAGCATCCTAGACCAAATTAAATGCAAAAATGCTAGGGAATTCCTGGAAATTGGCAAATCAGCCAATAATATAAAGATAAACCACATTTATACACCATTCAAAAGAGACAATAAAAAAAAACTAAGAAGAAAACAAAAGACTAGAATACATCCTTTCCAGCAACCAATACCTAGAGAAGCAGGGATTAACACCAGACAAACAATCAAGCAGAAAACAATACCTTAATCAAGGTACTACCAAGGGGGAAAAAATCACATTGCCACCAATACTGGCAGAGCAAGCTACTGAATATAAAGAGAGCAAACCCCACAGTCACTGCATTGATGATGTTACCTATTTGGGTAACGAAATGTTTGTAAGTAAACAACCAAGCACAGAGAGCACCAAGGACTCCCCAGTTTAACCCTGAGCTACATATATTCTATTGAGACTGCTTCCAAAACTGGCTTTCTTTCTTTCCTTCTTTCTTTCTTTCTTTCTTTCTTTCTTTCTTTCTTTCTTTCTTTCTTTCTTTCTTTCTTTCCTTTCTTTCTGAAATACCAAGAATCAAACTAGATCCTACCTGCAGATATAAATGCCTCTTTGGATAGCTTTTCATATAAGTATCCTAAACTGGAATGAAAAAAACACATTATGTTTGAATGTGTGAACACAGCCAGTGAATTTATGGCTTAGGCTTTAGCTTTCAAAAGCTGCTTTGGAGAAGGTAAGTGAAAGCAGACAAAGAGCAGCAATTATTTTAACTTTTCTTTTGTTCATTATTTCCCTCCTCCAAATCAAGCTTCTGGGGCACAATGAAAAAAATTCAAATGTAGATTTATGAGTTCAGCATTTCAAACAAT